GACAGATACTGTGCAATAACAATAAGATTCTGATGAAACTTCGTCAACAGGGATTTGTGCCACTTATTGATAAGCAATCAGAAATGTTTTTGGTTTTGACAAAAGGTTCCCTGATCATTTGTATTGATGGACAAAGGGAAGCAATTCCTATGCAAATCAATTATTTAATAATCTTCAAGAATGCCACATATATTCCACCAGCTTAAGCTATTTGAATATATGTTTTCTCCTTTCAACACGTCCCAGAAATACAGGTTGTTCTCAACTTTGAGTTTTACCTTCTCTTCTTGTAACAAATGGATATTTGAGAAATGAATGTGACCAAAGCTGACGGGTAACTTGGAAAGACCAAGAATTCTACTTTCATTTCATGTACTTAAGTAAAATTTAAAATATTAATGGAGTCAAATATTACAACACATGTCTTGGTCTATTGGTGCATGTATCATTAAGTAGTATTGGGATATAATCAATAAATCCCAGCCCCAGGAATTTGGTATTTTGAACAGTTAATGGTGTACCAGCTGGTTGCTGTTCCAGTTTAAGTACGAAGGTCAGTATCTATTGATTTTCCCGGTAGGAAATGTCACTCTTTGCGGATGTTTGACAGACCAGGAAAGTACTTGTGATCAGTATAAGTACCCAGTATTATACCTAGGCTTGTAGTGCATGTATACTACAAAGTTATACATTGTATATATGTATACACACATATATCAACGAACGTTCTGCCTGAACTGTGTGACCTGTCATATCCTGACGGCCGTCTTCTGATTATGGATGTGTGTGTGGTATGCATAAAGAAGTCCGAGGCTAGCTGAATAGCAAAAGCGGAAGTCGAGCGACGCACAGAAATACATGCACATAGTATTAAAAACACATATGTAATGTGAAGTATAGGGCTAGGGTTTTGCAGTCGGGAAACTTGCTCTACAGAAAACAAATTTATGATGATTTTAATATTAATAACATTTTACAATTTCAGGGCATTGAAGTATCTATTTTTTTAGAATAAGAAATTGACAAGTATTTAATTAATCATTAATCAAGCAGATTGTTATCTAAACAATGGACCATTGCTGTTTGAAGTAGCTAACAGTTTGTAGTTTATGGTGCAAAGAAAATGGAGTTTCTTCTGGTTTGAAAATCACCTGTGGTTATTATTAGTCAACAGTGCTGTAGCCCAAGATTTTTGCTGGTCTGAGATTATCCCCCTTTACCAGAACTTCCGTGTTTTCCCCAGAATGTTTTGAAAGAAGCATGGTATTTCAATATTTCTGTTAAAGCAGCACTCTATGTAAAATCAAAGCAGCATGATAACTTTAGATTTACTATGAATATATAGCAGAGAAGATCTAGGATAGCAGCATGGTAACTTTAGATTTACTATGAATATATAACAGAGAAGATCTAGGATAGCAGCATGGCAAGACATAGTAGCATGGTGCCATGCTGCCAAAACAACCTGAGGAGAACACTAAACTTGTCAATAAAGAATATAGACATGTAAGGTCCCAAATCATGTATCCATACAAAAAATGGAAAGAAAATCTCTGACTGATGGTGGCAAACCTGGTCAAGGAAATAGATCAAAATCTTCATTGTGTATGCCTGAATGCATTGTGAAACAATTAATTTAACCACATGATGTACATGTACAAAAACTGTATGTCTCAACAGATGTGAACCTATCCAGCCCACTGCTTTAGATTGTTCTAGGCTGAACAAAGTTATTGTTTCAGGGATTGGCTTTGAAATATGTAGGGTCTGGGTAGGCACACCATGTTTTAGGAAGCCAGGTTTTAAAATTTTATGATTGTGTTGCATAAATTAAAGGAATCATGATTAAACAAGTTTGAAGTTTGTATATATTTTTTTAGAAAGACAGCAAAATCAAAGATAGGTAGCTATATATATTTAACAATATACTACTTCATAGTTTTTTCTGAGATGATTGACCAGGTTCAACAACTTTTTCTAATCTAGGAAATACACTTTTCATATATGCTTTAAAAGTGAGTCAACATAAATGTTTAAAAAATACATAATGGATGATGTTTATTTCCACATATTTGAGATTCTGTTTCTATAGTGCTAGGACTGCATTAGCTTATATGAAATTCAGTGAAAAACAGTAAAAATGCATCAAATATTTAAGTTAAGAGTACACAAATTGTGTATACTTAAACAGTGCACATGACTTGGTATGATTTCAGATAACAGTTTATTTATCTTTGGGTGGTCAGGTGATGTAGTGGATAGGGCAATTATTGTTTAAGAAGACGCACAGGGTAGGTATTAGGTCACATGTTGGATTTTTTTTTTTCATAATTATTGTAAAATTTTAAAAAAAGTGTATACAGTATAACAAGTTCATTGCACATTCTAGATGGTGTATAAACTCTGCATCAATAATATGGTCATAAATTTCTGGATGTACATGTGTACCTTGTAGACGATAGGATTGAAAATCCGATTCATCCATTGGTTTAGGACCTGTGTCAAGCCTTGTGTACATAGAACATAAGCTGCAGCCTAGTGTAACACCAGACAGGAAGTCAGGATCACCAAACACTTCCCTGTCACTGGTATCACATTGTGTGTACCGTACAGCTCACTTAGCCATCTTCCTGTCCAATGTATATATCCTCAAGTCAGAGCATTGTGTATGTTATACACAGTTAACTATAAGCCAGTTTTTAAAAAAGAATAGCGCTGGTTAAAATAAAAAAAAGGTAACACACACAAAGTGATAAAATATTGATTGCTTAGCAACAAATATTACAAAAGCATGAACATTTCTCGCAATCACATTGGTCGAATCATATACACATGACCAGTTCTCAAAAACTCATGTAGACTGGTTATCCAGTGAATATCGATTTCTAAATATAGCCTATATGGAAATTACCGGGAACCAGCAGTCATCCACAATTTGGTTTCAGCAAGTTAATATCCTTAAATATTGTTCAGTTTTAATGAAACTTGGGTTTGTGTATAAACAATATACACAGACTGATACAAAATTGAAACTTGAACATAATTCACACATATTAAAAAGCATGCATACCCTGGTCAATGTCCACACTTTACAAGATAATTTGCTTGAATATATATTGATCAATATACAAACTTTGATGATAAGTTCAAAGTTGAGTGAAAGCCATGCATAATTAATTAGCATACTGTGCTCTGATTAGTCAATGGTTTTTGATGAAACTTGGTTGATATCTTATTCAACAACAAAGGCAAAGTTCAAAGTTGAACACAATCTGTGCATAATCTATTTAATGGTTTAAAATTGCCAATTTCAGTTTGTAACGTTTGAAATATGGACAGAGGAAAGCAACTCCTATGCAAATTAATTTTATAAAAAGTCTAAAATAATATATTCTAGAGAACACTTGGTACCCCTCTTCTGACAAGCATATAAAGATATACTGTACACATAAGAAGAATAACTTCACAGTGGTACACTTTTACATAAAACTATGATTTATAACAAAATTAACAGATAATCCTTCTGTACAATATGATGAGAATTTCGCCTTTATTTTGTTCCCCTTTCCAAAAATAAGATATATATCTTAGTATAACTTTTGCCTTAACTTTCAGTACCCTCAGTACTTTGATTGTCACTATTTCTCATGGAAGAACTTGGCAGATTTTTCTCAAATTTCTTTTGTAGGTTTCCCATGGTTTTTAGCTGTGTATGTGTCATTTTGAGATTGATTAAAGAAAAAACAAGATGGCCACCAGGCAGCCATTTTAGATTTTGATAGTTGAAATATGTTATTGCTGTTTCTCCAGAAGTTCTGGATATATCTTTATCAAATATATACATAGATTCTGCTTTGGCCTCAGTTTTACATGTTGATTTTGAGAGCTGGCAAAATAATTGCATACATGCAGGAAGGACTGGAATAATCTTTATCATGTTTCATATGTGAATTCCACTCTGGCCTTTGTTTTGCATGTTTGATATTTTTTGTTCTTTGGATCTTGCAGCAATTCCTGGAACTGGAAATCTTTGCTGGATTGTTAAATTTGCTGTTGAATCATTTTGTGAAGAGAATGGAAATAATACTGCCACAAAAATTACTCGGTATATACTGTCCGTCTTAAAAATGGAGAAGGTTGCTCTGATAACTTGACTTTATTTTGTCCACACTGTCATCTTTATTTAATTGTCTGGTTTATGTGAAGTACAAAATGGCCTTGTGTGCCTTTACAGGTAAAAACGAAAATGGTGAGTTATGATGGAAATAGATAGGTGCTTAATAAATGAAATAGACTAGAAAAGTTTTGTGTGAATTTTAAATCGAGCAAGTTTGTTCAATAAGCAAAGCTACTAAACAAAAGTGTTATACATACAGTATTTGTATCTCTTATCTCTTATAGGGTTGGCAATCAAGTCAAAATCTCGGATCAATCCTCACTATCTCTTGAATGATCGATGATTGATTGAAGATCGATCGTAAAATGAAAATAAAATAAATAGAGAAGCATTTGTCAAAATAGGTCAAATGTAATGGATACTTTTAAACTTCCCTATACATGTAGGTAGAAATGATGTTTGAATGCAGTTTAGGGTAAAAGTTGTTATTAAAACTGCTCAATCATATCAGGTTTTAGATGGGCTCCTAGTCTCAAGAACTCTTTATAATGTTGAAAGTGTTTTTGTTATAGTCAAACCATGATCATATTTAATTATGATCGATTAATCATAATCAGAGGTAAACGACTGTTCGTGATCGGTTAATCATAATCGGAGGTAAAGGACTGATCGTGATCGGTTAATCATAATCGGAGGTAAACAACCGATCGTGATCGGTTAATCATAATCGGAGGTAAACAACCGATCGTGATCGGTTAATCATAATCGGATGTAAACAACTGATCGTGATCAATAAATCGTAATCGGTAAACGACTAATTTAAATTGATAATCAGAACAGCACAATCTCTTACCATATTAACGTGATGTGTGTACCTGTACAGGTTGGTCGTGTGGAACGAGATGTGCCCCAGGTTACAGGACATCAGTCGGCAGTGCTGGACATTGCGTGGTGCCCTCACAACGACAACCTCATTGCCAGTGCAAGTGATGACTGCTCTGTGATGATCTGGAACATTCCTGATAGAGGGCTGACTACAAACATGGAAACTCCTGTAGTAGACCTAAGACTTCACCAGCGTAGGGTCGGCCTTGTTATATGGCATCCAGTGGCTGCCAATGTTCTACTGTCCGCAGGTACATACTAACGATCAGTAACAATTACCTTTCATGTCTGAGGTTATCATTCTGATGTCTCACCTTTCTACAGCATCTACATAAATACAATGATTACAAAAAGTCACTATATAATATGTTAGTGAAAGACATTTTTATTGGAAAGCTTTTTTTGGTGTGATACCTATACACAGCTCTTTATTCTGTCAGTAAATCACATACATGGTAGGTGTAAACAAAAATCTAAAATACTGGTAGTATTAATTAACTCCACCATAACATTGATGTTTTGCTGAATATCAGCACTATCAGGTGTATACCATAAAATAGTAGGTCACATTAGATATTTTGTATTTTAGGTTCCGACAACAAAATTTACATTTGGAATGCGGGACTAGGGGAGGCGTTTCTTGAGATCGATGTGCCTGATCTCATCTTTTCTGCATCGTTTAACTTCAACGGAAGTAAAGTAGTGACCACCTGTAAAGACAAGACGATGAGGATAATTGACTGTAGAACGGGAGTCGTTATATCTGTAAGTAGTTGTACATACACTCATAAGATTATTTGATCTCATTCTTGAGGGAACCTTTGGGCATTGCTCAAATTAACTAAATATGATGAAATTGCATGTTAATCTAAAAATATATATATTTATATTATAACAGCAGAAGACTTATCCTAACGGACGAAGAAATAATATTAAAAGAAAAGAATCTTAACAACTCATCTTTAGTGCTTTCATCTCATCAAGGAGATTCTTCAAACTGTTTATTTGAAGCAGATATTATGACGTCATTAACTATAGCGTCACATACTAGTTCGCTATAGCTATATATATACTAAAGTTAAAATATCCCTCAATCACATATTTCTGAAAGTAAACTTTATGTCCAATTCCAAGTCCAATTAATGTCTGAACAATAAAAACTGCCAATAACAAGTGACTGTTAAGGTCATTGGGCCTCTCACAACGTAGTCCAACGACCTTACTTTTAAAGGACACTCAGTTGTACAGAGTTTCTGTCAAAAGCTACAACAAGATGTAGTTTCTGTTGAAAACTCTTTTCTCTATTATCCGGTCATGTAAGATAGCGATGGCCATGTAAGATAACCATGCTTGCTGAGTCTATCTTACATGGGCATGACGTCACAATGGCTCAACAACGACGTGACGTCACGAATTTGGAGAACACCGTGATGCCACAATGCGGAAAATGCAACGTGATGAAATAAAAAACTTTCACGGTATAGTTATCCGATACCTATATCAAAAATAATAAATTTAAAAAAAGTGTTGTAACTGTTTTTATTGTAGTTCACCGTACCGTAATATATGAATTGAATGGAAATGTTTTCATGTACGTTGTGGCAATGAATAGCAGTAGCTGATCTACATATCCTGTGGGATGTAACAGCAAAATTGCAATTTAGCTCACAGGAGTTTGTGATTGACAGCTATGAAGTAGGCTTATGATAAAAGTAATCTGTTTTTCTATGTTTACACTCATGGTTTATCTTTTTGTTGTTTCAAGGAAAACAAACCTCATGAAAGCAGCAAACCAGCACAAGCCGTGTATCTGAAAGATGGCCGAATCTTTACCACCGGGTTCTCACGCATGAGTGAGCGACAATATGCTGTGTGGGATGAGGTATGGTAAACAATGTGTTACTCCAGTAACCACAATATCAGTCTGACAGGCATGATTGGTGTTATAAATAAGGATCAAACATTATCTAATCACATGACTATTTATTGATCTTAGTTAATGCACTGGAGATTTGATATGTCCTCCATGTTCCTTACTCAAATATATTTAAGGATGATATAGCAAAGTTAGAATATATTTTATAGAAATAAGATGAAATTTGATTAGATCTTTGTTCTCACCTAACCAAATACAATACATGTTACAGAACATGACTTTGTTTCAGTGTTAGGACTTCGGTAAACCTTTCATCCCTACAGTAAATCTCTTCACGAAAAAGTTGATATAAAGTCGAAGGCAGACAAATGGCCACAGTTGTCAAATCAGGAGATGGTCAAAAAACAATTGTAGCTTTTAGGTGCGCTGGTGTATTGAATAAAAATCAGGAATGCTTTTCTTAAATAGTTAAGTATTTTTTAAAAAAGAGTAACATAATGCTATTTCTAGGATCCTTTTTTGACAGATCAGTTTTCTTCTCCAGAGTACATCAATGCATATCAACTTCCTTCAATATTTAACATTTGTTTTCCACAGAAATTAAAAAACCTGAGTATGGAGGAGATTGACAATAACAACGGGGTGCTGTTCCCTCAGTATGATTCTGATTTAAACATCATGTTTCTGGCAGCTAAGGTAAGTGTCAGTCATACAGGAACACTTTTAGCAGCCTCAATTAAATAGCAGCTATCCTGATTTAAACATTATGTTCCTGGCGGCTAAGGTAAGTGTCAGTCATACAGGAACACTTTCAGCAGCCTCAATTAAATAGCAGCTATCCTGATTTAAACACTATGTTTCTGGCGGCTAAGGTAAGTGTCAGTCATCCAGGAACACTTTCAGTAGCCTCAATTAAATAGCAGCTATCATGATTTAAACATTATGTTTCTGGCAGCTAAGGTAAGTGTCAGTCATACAGGAACACTTTTAGCAGCCTCAATTAAATAGCAGCTATCCTGATTTAAACATTATGTTTCTGGCGGCTAAGGGAAGTGTCAGTCATACAGGAACACTTTCAGTAGCCTCAATTAAATAGCAGCTATCCTGATTTAAACATTATGTTTCTGGCGGCTAAGGTAAGTGTCAGTCATCCAGGAACACTTTCAGTAGCCTCAATTAAATAGCAGCTATCCTGATTTAAACATTATGTTCCTGGCGGCTAAGGTAAGTGTCAGTCATACAGGAACACTTTCAGCAGCCTCAATTAAATAGCAGCGTTTAGTCCAACCTAAAGTCATTAAAGGCTGGATTACTGGCTTTATGTAGGATATACATTAATTATTCTGTAAAAATAATGCTAGCAGTATTGTTGGACAGCATTTTAAATGGTGAAAATAGTCTATCTGTTCAAATAATTACTGGTTGTGAATGCTGAGGAGCCTGTCTCTATGTTATTATTAGATGGTTTATGTAATGTTACAAGGTGACTATTGTTTGTTATTACAAGATCACCATCAGATATGGCTTTTGTTACAGGGTGACAGTATTATTCGGTATTACGAGATCACGAATGAGATGTTTTTATGTTACAGAGTGACAGCATTATTCGTTATTACGAGATCACGAATGAGATGTTTTTATGTTACAGGGTGACAGTATTATTCGGTATTGCGTGATCACGAATGAGATGTTTTTATGTTACAGGGTGACAGTATTATTCGGTATTACGAGATCACGAATGAGAGTCCCTTTGCACACTTCTTGACTCTGTATCAGTCCAAAGAATCACAGCGAGGGTTTGCCTACCAGAACAAGCGGGGCTTGGACATGAAGGCCTGTGAAATAACAAAGTAAGTCATCAATGCTCGCTGCCAGGTTTTGCTGTATATAAGAAAACATAGGTATCTTTTCCTTTGCCAGGCTGGTGATTGGAAAGTCATAGTTGTTTCTGAGATTGTCCCTGTATAGAACAGTAATAACATCTATGTTGTGTATAATCATAAGAGCAACCCACATATCGGGTTGTCATTCCACTGTGGATATTAACGCTGACTGCAGATGCAATGTGAGAAACGGCCCTGAAATATGCAACCATACTGAGAAGCACATGGTTAGGTCTATGTGACGACCTACGCCTAATAATTATAAGATTAATCTAAAAATACTCGGTTGATTTACTTCTGTTATACACAGTGTAACATTGTACACTCAGTTGATTTACTTCTGTTATGTACATAGTGTAACATTATATACTCAGTTGATTTACTTCTGTTATGTACATAGTGTAACATTATACACTCAGTTGATTTACTTCTGTTATGTACATAGTGTAACATTATACACTCAGTTGATTTACTTCTGTTATGTACATAGTGTAACATTATACACTCAGTTGATTTACTTCTGTTATGTACATAGTGTAACATTATACACTCAGTTGATTTACTTCTGTTATGTACATAGTGTAACATTATACACTCAGTTGATTTACTTCTGTTATGTACATAGTGTAACATTATACACTCAGTTGATTTACTTCTGTTATGTACATAGTGTAACATTATACACTCAGTTGATTTACTTCTGTTATGTACATAGTGTAACATTATACACTCAGTTGATTTACTTCTGTTATACACAGTGTAACATTATATACTCAGTTGATTTACTTCTGTTATACACAGTGTAACATTATACACTCAGTTGATTTACTTCTGTTATACACAGTGTAACATGACACACTCAGTTGATTTACTTCTGTTATACACAGTGTAACATTATACACTCAGTTGATTTACTTCTGTTATACACAGTGTAACATTATACACTCAGTTGATTTACTTCTGTTATACACAGTGTAACTTTATATACTCAGTTGATTTACTTCTGTTATGTACATAGTGTAACATTATAAACTCAGTTGATTTACTTCTGTTATACACAGTGTAACATGACACACTCAGTTGATTAACTTCTGTTATACAGTGTAACATTATACACTCAGTTGATTTACTTCTGTTACACAGTGTAACATTATACACTCAGTTGATTTACTTCTGTTATACACAGTGTAACATTATACACTCAGTTGATTTACTTCTGTTATACACAAAGTAACAACATACAGTTAACATTGCTTGGTCACTCCAATATTACTGAATTATCATGTCAATGATTTAATATATAGAATTTTTTAGTTTTCTTGAATGCTAATTTTTGCATTATTAGCTCACCTGGCCCAAAGGGCCATGTGAGCTTATGCCGTACTCCGTAGTCCGTTGTCCGTTCGTCAACTTTTTCTTTTGAACGACTTCTTCTGAAGAACTGTAGGACCTAGGTAATGATATTTGGTCAGTAGGTACCTGAGATGGAGTGCTATAAAGTTTCCTCAATAAAATTATCTTGACCTGCTTTCAAGGCCACAGGGGTCAAATATGTTAAACACTTCAAACAACAATATCCTAAGAACCATTTGGACTAGGCATGATACTTAGGTTTGTTATGTAGATCAGCTGTGTGATTTTTTTTCTTCATTACAGTAATGAGGTCACAGGGCAACTTTAAGTGCAAATCGGGATTCAAATGTCAACTTTGGTTAAAAGCTTTAACAATCTTCTTCTCAAGTTCCATTAGGCCCAGGGTCATGATATTTAGCCAGTAGGTACCTGGGATGGAGTGCTATAAAGTTTCCTCATTAAAATTATCTTGACCTGCTTTCAAGGTCACAGGGGTCAAATATGTTAAACACTTCAAACAACAATATCCTAAGAACCATTTGGACTAGTCATGATACTTAGGTTTGTTATGTAGATCAGCTGTGTGATTTTTTTTCTTCATTACAGTAATGAGGTCACAGGGCAACTTTAAGTGCAAATCGGGATTCAAATGTCAACTTTGGTTAAAAGCTTTAAAATTAAAATTTTAAGTTTCAAACAACTATTTCTTCAGAACCGTCAGAACCGTTTAAGAGATGTTAAAATGTCTTGTGTTCTAGTTACCAAATGGTCTTAAGTTACCTATATGTCAGTTGCATGTAACAAAAGAAACAGGTGAGCTATACAGGCCCTCTGGGCCTCTTGTTGCTTAAAGCAACTACAATGGAAGGATTTGAGTTAATGTATAAATGTCTCTAGAGTAAGTATTTGAGTTAATGTATAAATGTCTCTAGAGTAAGTAGTTGAGTTAATGTATAAATGTCTCTAGAGTAAGTATCTGAGTTAATGTATAAATGTCTCTAGAGTAAGTATTTGCAGAGGGTTACTGTATTTTAGTTCTCTATGGGTGGTTAATGTATTTCTCTCCTATGCAGGATAGGTATGGTATTTTAGTCCGCAAGGTTAGATGCCCATTATCATCTGGTTTGTTTTTTGCAGAATGTACAAAATACACAACAGTGGTCTGTGTGAAGTGATTCCGTTCACAGTGCCTCGAAAGGTGAGAATGTGCATGTCTCTATCTGCCAATGGCATAGAACCTAGTGTTCTCCCCAGAAAATGATTTGATGCACTATGGTAACTTCCCCAGCCCTGCCCCAATCGCGGTGCGGCATTGCCTTCCATTTCAGCGACACAATCTGTCGATTGCAATCTATGCAGTGTAAAACTTTAGAAGATATAATAATTGATTGCTTTTGTTAAATAAATAACATTAATAAAAAATACATAACCTTTCACACTTAAGTACAATCCCTTTTCTGATTCTGATTCTGAAACATATATAGACTACAGTAGTATCATGATGATCAACCATTATTACTTGGGTTACAGCTTGATCTTATTCCCTATATATCCTTTTTCGGTATTTTTATAATTTGAAAACTTCTTCTCCAAGCTTCATGATTTTTCTGTTTGTTCTTAATTGACACTGAAGGGACTAGAACTGCTATCGTTGGGTGAGGTCTGAAACTTAAAATTTCAGAGTCTAACTGACAAGCAATGATTTTCAAATTTATAAATTATTCATCTATTTTCTTGAAGTATTTCTTTCTTTGGAGTAATGAGGAAAATTTGTTGAGAGACAAAGATAAAATATCAGACTGCAAAAGTCTGCTGATGTTAATTAGATATGTTACTAAATAGGAACGGATTGTTCTGTCATCATCCTACATTCTTCAATTGTAAATAGGAAGTGAATTGTTCCATTCATTAATAATATTAATGTGTGATAGAATTATATTACATAAATTCACAGCTAGAGCTGTCACGATACACTTTACCCACAATTCGATACGTATCTCGATATTTGTTCCAGTCGATTCGATACACCTTTATTTTCAGATATAAACAAAATGAGATATATAAGCCGTCGATACACGGAAACCTGCAGTGTTTCTGCACTTTTGATATGAAGCTTGCCAGAGCATCACAAATTTTCATTTCCTTACGGCGGTCCGCCATTTTGTTATGAATGCTTTGTGAAAATTGCATCCTCGCAGCCGATCGGTTGAGGGTTTAGAGATCAGCCAATGAAATTGAACGTCTCAAGGCGTTTCGGCTGAAGCGGCATAAACTAATATTCAGATCCGGAAAAATATATAGTGAATCAAATCGAACATAAATAATCACGGTACAAGTGCATCGCGGTGAATCGTGACACCTCTATTCACAGCATTGATTTGTCATCAATTCATGTCAAAATTTTTAATATAATCTATTTCAATGTAATTAGTTTTGTGTTCCTTACAAGCATGCTCACTTCAGAGTTTGAAGATTGTTTACATTAATATTAACAAAAACAGGCTTGTCAGTTATTGTAAATCAATTATAAATTATTTTAAAAAATATTTAAAACATTTACAATTAACCAGACATGATGAAAGTCTGATGGTTTCAACAAAGAAACCATTGTGTATTATTTAATCTCTGGTTAATGATCACACATTATCTGGGTTTCCATCTAGTTAGCTCTGAAATTTGAAAATATTATGAACTACCTCCTGTAATTCAAAGTCTAAATTATCTTTCAATACCAAATGGTCGTTATTAGTTTACGAAATATCCCGATATCTGCATCATTTCAAAGAACTTTTCAAGAAGAGATGTATGACTTATTTCTAAGTTTAATCAAACTTGTAGCAGTATAGTACAGGGTACACGGCATGTTTTCACTGTTACAAGACTGATGATATTTGCTTATGAGTGACTTGAGGTTTATTTTATGAGAAAGGTTCTTGTTTGTAGTCGGAATTGTTCCAAGATGACCTGTTCCCAGATACAGCCAAAGATCAGGCAGCTCTCACTGCTGAGGAGTGGTTTGAAGGCAAGGATGCTGCTCCCATAATGGTAACTCCTCAGCTTGTACAATTTAACATAGAGCCTTGTCCCTGATGTTACATAGAACCTTGTCCAAGTCTTGTCCCTGATGTTACATAGAGTTTTGTCCCTGATGTTACATACAGCCTTGTCCCTGATGTTACATACAACTTTGTCCCTGATGTTACATACACTCTTGTCCCTGATGTTACATAGTCTTGTCCCTGCTGTTCCATACAGCCTTGTCCGTGATGTTACATACAACTTTGTCCCTGATGTTACATACAGTCTTGTCCCTGATGTTACGTACAAGTTTGTCCCTGATGTTACATACAGCCTTGTCGCTGATGTTACATACAACTTTGTCCCTGATGTTATATACAGTCTTGTCCCTGATGTTACGTACAGGTTTGTCCCTGATGTTACATACAGCCTTTGTCCCTGATGTTACATACAGCCTTTGTCCCTGATGTTACATATAGCCTTGTCCCTGATGTTAAATAGCCTTTGTCCCTGATGTTACATACAGCCTTGTCCCTGATGATACATACAACTTTGGCCCTGATGTTACATAGAACCTTGTACCTGATGTTACATACAGCATTGTCCCTGAGGTTACATACAGCCTTGTCCCTGATGTTAAATAGCCTTTGTCCCTGATGTTACATACAGCCTTGTCCCCGATGTTACATACAGCCTTGTCCCTGATGATACATACAACTTTGGCCCTGATGTTACATAGAACCTTGTACCTGATGTTACATACAGCATTGTCCCTGATGTTATATACAGCCTTGTCCCTTATGTCACGTACAGTCTTGTCCCTGATGTTACATACAACTTTGTCCCTGATGTTATATACAGTCTTGTCCCTGATGTTACGTACAGGTTTGTCCCTGATGTTACATACAGCCTTGTCCCCGATGTTACATACAGCCTTGTCCCTGATGTGATATAGTCTTGTCCCTGATGTTACATAAAGCCTTGTCCCTGATGTTACATACAGCATTGTCCCTGAGGTTACATACAGCCTTGTCCCTGATGTTAAATAGCCTTTGTCCCTGATGTTACATACAGCCTTTGTCCCTGATGTTACATACAGCCTTGTCCCCGATGTTACATACAGCCTTGTCCCTGATGATACATACAACTTTGGCCCTGATGTTACATAGAACCTTGTCCGATGTTACATACAGTCTTGTCCCTGATGTTACGTACAGGTTTGTCCCTGATGTTACATACAGCCTTTGTCCCTGATGTTACATACAGCCTTTGTCCCTGATGTTACATATAGCCTTGTCCCTGATGTTACATACAGCATTGTCCCTGAGGTTACATACAGCCTTGTCCCTGATGTTATATAGTCTTTTCCCTGATGTTACATAAAACCTTGTCCCTGATGTTACATACAGCATTGTCCCTGATGTTATATACAGCCTTGTCCCTTATGTCACGTACAGTCTTGTCCCTGATGTTACATACACCTTTGTCCTTGTTGTTACATACAACCTTGTCCCTGTTGTTGCATACAACTTTGTCCCTGTTGTTACATACACTCTTGTCCCTGATGTTAAATACAGCCTTGTCCCTGATGTTACATAAAGCCTTGTCCCTGATGTTACATACAGCATTGTCCCTGATGTTATATACAGCCTTGTCCCTTATGTCACGTACAGTCTTGTCCCTGATGTTACATACAACTTTCGCCCTGATGTTACATAGAACCTTGTCCCTGATGTTACATACAGCCTTGTCCCTGATGTTACATACAGCATTGTCCCTGATGTTACATACAGCCTTGTCCCTGATGTTACATAGTCTTGTCCCTGATGTCCTAATGTACTGTTATACATAATTCTTGTCTGATGGTAACAGCTTTATATGCATTGTAATACATGAAAAATTATGAATTCAGTACAGAATTATTTCAGTACTACTGATTATGATTATGAAATATATAGATATTATATGATTATGAAATATAAAATCCATGAATTTGATAAGATAATTCACCGGTTAATGTTTTCTTCTCATTATAATGTGCTACATGCAATCAGGGATATACTGTTCCATTAGCCTGATGCCAGGGCTGCATGGTAGATGTTGTGTTTGGGCTTGTGGAAATATTTTCAATATATACTAAGAAAAAGTAGTCAGGCTAGTTGAACTCATTTTCAAAATCAACCTTCCAGTTAGTATCCTAAATATAAAATCATATATATCCAGGACTAGCATTTAGAGTTATTTGTTTTCCTGAATTTAATTCACAGATGTCTTTGAAAGACAAGTTCCTAGCTTTGGAGGGGACTACCCAGTCAGCTGCAAAGCCTATACGCAAGGCTAACGTCCTGGACAACATCAATTCAACAACACCACAGAAGGCTCCACCAATGAAGACAGCAGAGCAATCGGCCCCTAAACCAGCCCCTGCTCCGGCCCGTGCTCCATCCCCGGTTCCGGCCCCTGCCCCCACCCCTGCCCCTGCCCCTGCCCCTGTTGCTGCCCCTCCTGCGAAGGTGGCTGCTGCTCCACCACCGAAACAAGAAACAAAGCCACCTGCAGTTAGTGACAATGCAGTGCCGGGAGCTTCCCTTCCTGCTGTAAGTATCTAGCACATGCTAAATAGTTGAAAGGCCATTCTAATTCTGTTGTGCCCTAATTAGTCTGTGACATCTAGAGAGCAGTTTATATCTTCTGCTTTCATCACAACATTTGAAATCTGTCTTTTCCTTTTTGTCCTTATCTACTCTATCCTTTACTTGGTGTCCCATGCTACCTCTGTTTAGCCCAGAATATTGTGTGAGCTGGTGACATGTCATACTACCTCTGTTCAGCCCAGAATATTGTGTGAGCTGCTGACATGTCATGCTACCTCTGTTTAGCCCAGAGTATTATGTGAGCTGGTGACATGTCATGCCACCTCTGTTTAGCCCAGAGTATTATGTGAGCTGGGAACATGTCATGCTACCTCTGTTTAGCCCAGAGTCATGTGTGAGCTGGTGACATGTCATGCTGCCTCTGTTCAGCCCAGAATATTGTGTGAGTGACATGTCATGCTTCCTCTGTTTAGCCCAGAGTATTATGTGAGCTGGTGACATGGCATGCTACCTCTGTTTAGCCCAGAGTATTATGTGAGCTGGTGACATGGCATGCTACCTCTGTTTAGCCCAGAGTATTATGTGAGCTGGGAACATGTCATGCTACCTCTGTTTAGCCCAGAATAATGTGTGAGCTGTTAACATGTCATACTACCTCTGTTTAGCCCAGAATATTGAGTGAGCTGCTGACATGTCATGCTACGTCTGTTTAGCCCAGAGTATTATGTGAGCTGGGAACATGTCATGCTACCTCTGTTTAGCCCAGAGTAATGTGTGAGCTGGTGACATGTCAGGCTACCTCTGTTCAGCCCAGAATATTGTGTGAGTGACATGTCATGCTTCCTCTGTTTAGCCCAGAATATTGTGTGAGATGGTGTCATGTCATGCTACCTCTGTTTAGCCCAGAGTAATGTGTGAGCTGGTGACATGTCAGGCTACCTCTGTTCAGCCCAGAATATTGTGTGAGTGACATGTCATGCTTCCTCTGTTTAGCCCAGAGTATTATGTGAGCTGGGAACATGTCATGCTACCTCTGTTTAGCCCAGAGTCATGTGTGAGCTGGTGACATGTCATGCTCCCTCTGTTCAGCCCAGAATAATGTGTGAGCTGGTGACATGTAATGCTACCTCTGTTTAACCCAGAATATTGTGTGAGCTGGTGCCATGTCATGCTACCTCTGTTTAGCCCAGAATAATGTGTGAGCTGTTAACATGTCATACTACCTCTGTTTAGCCCAGAATATTGTGTGAGCTGGTGACATTTCATGCTACCTCTGTTTAGCCCAGAGTCATGTGTGAGCTGGTGACATGTCATGCTACGTCTGTTTAGCCCAGAATATTGTGTGAGCTGTTGACATGTCATGCTACCTCTGTTTATCCCAGCATATTGTGTGAGCTGGTGACATGTCATACTACCTATGTTCAGCCCAGAATATTGTGTGAGCTGGTAACATGTCATGCTACCTCTGTTTAGCCCAGAGTATTATGTGAGCTGGGAACATGTCATGCTACCTCTGTTTAGCCCAGAGTCATGTGTGAGCTGGTGACATGTCATGCTGCCTCTGTTCAGCCCAGAATATTGTGTGAGCTGCTGACATGTCATGCTACGTCTGTTTAGCCCAGAGTATTATGTGAGCTGGTGACATGTCATGCTACGTCTGTTTAGCCCAGAATATTGTGTGAGCTGGTGACATGTCATGCTACCTCTGTCCAGCCCAGAATAATGTGTGAGCTGGTGACATGTCATGCTACCTCTGTTTAACCCAGAATATTGTGTGAGCTGGTGACATGTCATGCTACCTCTGTTAAGCCCAGAATATTGTGTGATCTGGTGACATATCATGCTACCTCTGTTTACCCCAGAATATTGTGTGAGCTAGTAACATGTCATGCTACCTCTGTCTAGCCCAGAATAATGTGTGAGGTGGTGACATGTCATGCTTCCTCTGTTTAGCCCAGAGGAATGTGGGAGCTGGTGACATGTCATGCTCCCTCTGTTCAGCCCAGAATAATGTGTGAGGTGGTGACATGTCATGCTTCCTCTGTTTAGCCCAGAATGTTGTGTGAGCTGGTAACATGTCATGCTACGTCTGCTTAGCCCAGAATAATGTGTGAGGTGGTGACATGTCATGCTACGTCTGTTTAGCCCAGAATATTGTGTGAGCTGGTGACTTTTCATGCTACCTCTGTTTAGCCCAGAGTAATGTGTGAGCTGGTGACATGTCATGCTACCTCTGTTCAGCCCAGAATATTGTGTGAGCTGGTAACATGTCATGCTACCTCTGTTTAGCCCAGAGTAATGTGGGAGCTGGTGACATGTCATGCTACGTCTGTTTAGCCCAGAGTAATGTGTGAGCTGGTGACATGTCATGCTACGTCTGTTTAGCCCAGAATATTGTGTGAGCTGGTGACATGTTATGCTACCATGTCGGAGTCATGACAATTCAATGAGATGGTATTAAATGGCTCTTGAGGGCTCCATCTGACATGGACTCGGTTGTAGTATTACTTTAACTGTGCAAGTTGTGAAGACATTAAACCCCACAGATAAGCAAAATTTTAATTCATTTAAATTTCAATTCTTTTTTTATGTTATTTTTATGAAAATGATTGAAATCATAGCACAATTTTATTGTATAAATAGCATTCCTTAATGACAATTCTTATGAGATCAATTGAAATAATAAAAAGTTCATAAAAAATTGATGGAAACCTATTTCTGTCTACAAGAAGGTTGTTTTAATTATCAAACTAATGATGTCATGGTTATTTGATATTGTAACACATCAGAGACACAGAATTAATTCATTTTTTTTTTATAGATAAGCAGTATAATGTTAATGAGGAGGGGTTATTATATGAATTGTTATGACCTCTCACTAACCATACATCATATTACAATCATCACTAATCTTTGTCACTATTAGTAACACAGGGCTGATGTTACTGTCAAAACACCAAAATTACACTTGTCACTTGACTGTATTCCGGCATGACAGTGGAAGAGTAAACTATTTTCAGTGCTCGCCCAACTGGCCATGGGCAAGTGGGCTGAATTTTTCATTCATATAAGATATTTATTTACTTGCTCGGTTTCTTTTTAGTCAATTCAAAATTGCTTCATGTTGAAATTGTACAGAAAAATAACAAGTCAAAAGTCACTTTAACTGATTGAGAATTTTTTGCTGCTTTACAATATTGGGAAAATATACATATTTTCATTACAAGCAAACAAAAGAAGAGAAATACTTCATTTCAGCATTTTGGTTTTTTTAAATGGATACTCATGTTTTCTAGAGCATCTGCCAAGGACAGATAACCTCAACAATCCACTTGCCCAAAAGACTTTCTACTTGTTCCTTAAAGTCACACAAACCAAATATTTTACAACTATATATTAAAAAGTGATAATTAATATTTTTTTAAATCTATACTTTTATGAGTTATTTTTTTATGATGTTAAATAATATATGAGAAATGGTAAAATGTGTGAGTATGCATCAATGTATGTGAGCTGATAGCTTTTTCAATAATTCAATAATAAATTCTAGCTGATAGTGCCTTGAATCTTCCTGTATGAATACAGTGACTTATTGTTTTTATGTATTATTTCTTAACAGTTGTCACTGTGCTTCTACTTTATTCTGTTTACTCTAGATTTCAAGATATTGGTACATTGTTAGACAAAAACTTGGCTTTAGAGGGATAGGGAAATACGTGTTTTACTTACCCCAAGTCATTCCAACTCCCCAATGGCGAGGAGGTGAATGCTCACTTGTAACTCTCATTCACTGCACGCTACAGCAAGTGGATCATGTTTCTTAAACTGCGTGTGTTGGACATTAATTTGCTGCTGAAACTTTTACCAGCAAAGGGTATATTAGCATTAAGGTAGCTTATTGAACAAGTAATTGTATGACATCAGTGATGTACTGGAGGCAATGGACCTTGCCTTATCTCTGTGTATAGACAGTCCTCCTCCAGTTCTCTATAGTTAATCAACAGCAGTTCACATGTGTGTTGCATGCCCACACTATTAACCTACCAAATGAAGACTGTTGATAGTATAACGGTATGAATACCACCCCCCACCCCCCCACCCCCCTGTAAAAAACAAAATAATTGTGATTTGTTTATGATGCCATTACAAACTAGTCAATATGATGTGTAACACTAACACTTTTGGATTGTTGTTGCATCAGTATTATTTCATCAATAATGATAGCATATAAACAAAGGAACTCTTAAATAACTCTTTATTTACTGACTGTAAAATATTAGAATTGATAATGTATATTGTTTATGGATTGAAGGTAAATTTGGTGATTGTTATGTCAGAATGAACTGCCGTATAGTTTACATACAGATATACCAGGACTTACAGAATCCTGTTGAGAGGTTATTTGTCACATGATCTTGTTGTTGGACTTAGATAATCCTGTAGAGAGGTTGTTTGTCACATGATCTTGTTGTAGGACTTACAGAATCCTGTAGAGAGGTTGTTTGTCACATGATCTTGTTGTAGGACTTACAGAATCCTGTTGAGAGGTTGTTTGTCACATGATCTTATTGTAGGACTTACAGAATCCTGTAGAGAGGTTATTTGTCACATGATCTTGTTGTAGGACTTACAGAATCCTGTTGAGAGGTTGTTTGTCACATGACCTTGTTGCAGGACTTACAGAATCCTGTTGGGAGGTTGTTTGTCACAAGATCTTGTTGGAGGACTTAGAGAATCCTGTAGAGAGGTTGTTTGTGACATGATCTTGTTGTAGGACTTACAGAATCCTGTTGAGAGGTTGTTTGTCACAAGATCTTGTTGTAGGACTTAGAGAATCCTGTAGAGAGGTTGTTTGTCACATGATCTTGTTGTAGGACTTACAGAATCCTGTAGAGAGGTTGTTTGTCACATGATCTTGTTGTTGGACTTAGAGAATCCTGTTGAGAGGTTGTTTGTCACATGATCTTGTTGTGAAACCAACGATTTTGTTATACAAATCAATATTTTGACCTGTAGGGCTTTTCACTGGTAAATTTGCTGTGTTGTGTTAAATTCTTTGAAAAAGACACAATTTAGACTTAAGTATTTCACAACATGCTGTTTAAAATTCAACAAATTACATTATTATTAGACTATTTAGAGCACAGTATATATATATGTTTAAATGCAGAAATATTATAAAGTATAAGTTAACAAGAATTGCAGTCTCTCCCGCTAGATTTTTGTTATCATTTTCTTTAGATTCTGGATAAAATGCACAATCAATTTTTACAAAAAACTTCATTAATTTTACTCTGCTTGATGTGTCATCCAGGCAATTTTTTAAATTTCTATCTGAAAAATAATATCCTTTTCTTGGTATATTTTTGTACATTTCAGTGAGATTGAAGATCTGTTATTCATCACAATTTTCGTTAACTTAATAACTAATTTGGAGAGACTGTATTTGAAGAATATTTACCGTATCTATCCGAGATATACGCTGTATTTATAGCATAAGTACTAATGGTATTGAGATATTTGATGGTATCTTATTGATCCTTACATCGACAACTCTCAGACATTTAACCCCTGAGAACAAGACTTGACTGGTCCCAATAGATAATAACAATCTGTCTGAGATGGACACCTTTCTATATGTTTAGAAAGGCCCTGAACCTCACAGACTGCATGTTTAATAGATATAGGCCATCCTTCAAAAACTGTTAGTCGCAGTTTTCTGACCGATTCGCACAAAATGACACCTACTCAAATTTTGTTTTGGGGAAATATTTGTCAATTTTCTTTCCATGCTAAAAAATTACCCAAACAGGATTTTTAAAAGAACTCTTGGGATCTCTGAAAATGAAAATAAAATTCCTACCATCCATTCAACCCTCTAAAAGAAACTGCAAACCAGTTTTTAAGGATGGCCTTACATTGATGTATTCAGTTTGTATAACTAGGTTTACCCTCTAATATATATAGTCTAATTATTTTTTCCAGTCCACTTTTAATTTCAATGTTTTCATTACATTTGATTTTCAGACCTCACCTTATTTGTGTTCCTCCTTTTTCTTGTGATCCAGGGTTTTGATCCACAGGCCATGATTGACGATATCAGGAAACTCAAACTTATTGTAAAAGCACATGAAAGGCGAATTAAAACGTTAGAGGAAAGAGTATCACAATACGAGGCTATGTCATCGGAAGAAGAGAACGGAGAAAAATGCTAAAACGTATATATATGTATCTCCTTTTGTGTTCTGTTTGTTTAGCTTCAATATATTCTAGACATTTATATAGGTTGGTGTTTTTGCACGTTCCACTAATCCACACCTTTGTTCTGAACCAGGCAACATTTATCTGGTGATGGGACGTAACCCCTGTTTGTTTCACAGTTTACCCTTGTTGCACACGCTTTAGATAGAACCTTTATTTCAGTATTTACTGGCAGCTGTCAGAGAAAACACAATTTTCCAGGCCTAACGGAGTTAAGTTTTGAACTATATTACAGGGATATTGAGATTTCCATACTGTCATGTCTCAAAGATCAATGCCTAGTTACAAGTGTACTTAGTAGTGTTTAATTTGCCAAATAGATATAGACAAAGATCCTTCACACGTTTCCAACATCTAGTATTTTGCAGCTAGAGAGCCTTATTTTTACAATTTTGACTTGTGTGAGCATATCAATAACTCTATAAATCTATAAATTCTGACTATTCTATCAATAATAAACATCTCGGTGATATTGAAATGTATTACTCGTACCTTGGGGGAGCTAAACACTATATTGGAGATAGGTTCCTCATGATGTATGGCATTATTATGCTGTTAGCAAAGACAAAATCTTCATGGTTATTTTCTAAGAAGATCTAATCTTTCATAAGTGTCACCATATTAAAACAAATTTACAGATAGTACAGATTAATGAAAAAGAAAGGTTTTGTTTTTGCATGTTGTAAAGGTAATCGGTAACATTGTATTTGACTGTCTTTTGCCAGTGATGTTATTAATACAGTTAATTCATTTATCAGAACCTAAATAGTAAATATGTTCTAGTAATTTACCAGACACTTACTGTACCCATCTGGACTAGGGTAAAACCTCAAACCTGTCTTATTTGCTTTTGAATTAGACTTCTCTATAATCCATACTTAGATATTGCATTGCCCAGAAAAAGCTTACAATCTATCAGGATGTGATATTTAATTAAGTGTATCGATTGGGAAGAGATTGTGTCATGTAATTTACTTTACGTATTTTAAAAACCTTTTTTCATTCACAAAAAAAAAAGGTCATTTAAATCAAAGGAAACCATCTTTAAACCACGATTTCTTGTATAAACAATTAAAGTCATCATGCAGTAATTGAAGGATAAAATTATTTGTTTAAGAATGATTTTAAGTTTTAACACTTCACAATTTAATCTGAAGACCTGTTGTGTACCTACCCATCTTAGGATTAACCAGACGTTACACCACACTTACCCTGTGGTAGTTATAGAATATATAGCTTCACATGACTTCAGGAATTTATCAGGCATGAAAGTGAAAGAGTCAGCTGTTTTTTATTTTCAAACTTTTACTTTCTATTAACTATACTAGGATAAAATAAATTTACAAGTATAAAGTATAAACCTTTCTGTTCATTAGTTAAAAATACAATTCAAGTGCATATGTTTTTTTCACAAACTATTTTGAGTTTTTTTTTCTTTCTTTTTTAGATCTAATATGTGAAATAAGATGTGTACTACATACTAAGTAAAACTGGCTTGAAGTTAAAGACAATAGTCCTCAGATTAACTTCAGACGTTGTCTTCTTTAAAAAAACTTATTAATTAAAAACGTTTCAATTTAAACCAGAATGTGTAATTAAGCTAATTAGTTTTAGTTGAATGAGCTGACATAGATCTCATATTTACTACTTTATAACTATTAATTATATCTTGTTTATTTTTTTATTTTTTTTATTAAACTTTGTACATTAGCAGCATGTGACATGCATCATTCTGGGTGAATGTTTAAGCCTAGAATGAACCAGATATTGTTTCCTTACAGAACATGTGTGAGCTGTATCAGTAGACTAGATGGATTGACCTAACAGTTGCCAATGCATTGATCATTCTATTGCTGGATGACTGATCTTAATCAATAGAAATACCCTTGATTAAAGAACCATGCTAATATGATAATGATAATCACTACTATTGTTGATTTTGATGTTAATTTGAGTAAAATGAAAGATGTTTTATTGCTGATGATGTCTTACCTTAACATTCCTTTTTTTCTGGTTTTGGTAAATCCTCACCTCAGCGTTACGTTATTTCTGTTATTTATAATACCTTACCTCAGAGTTACGTTATTTCTGTTATTTATAATACCTTACCTCAGAGTTACGTTATTTCTGTTATATATAATACCTTACCTCAGCGTTACGTTATTTCTGTTATTTATAATACCTTATAACCTCAGCGTTACGTTATTTCTGTTATTTATAATACCTTACCTCAGAGTTACGTTATTTCTGTTATGTATAATACCTTACCTCAGCGTTTAAGTTATTTCTGTTATTTATAATACCTTACCTCAGCGTTACGTTATTTCTGTTATTTATAACTTCTTACCTCAGCGTTACGTTATTTCTGTTATTTATAATACCTTACCTCAGCGTTACGTTATTTCTGTTATTTATAATTTCTTACCTCAGCTTTACGTTATCACAACTGTCATTGATGCTACCTTACTTCAGCATCACTTAATTGATGTTGTGATCATACCTAAATACCTTAAAGCAGTGTTGTATATATAGTTGTCTTTACACAGTATTGTACAATATATGTCTCTATTAAACAACCATTAAAGTGGAGAAAAGGATATATATTGAACAGACTTCAGTTTCACTTCCTAAATCCAGCAAAAATTGTTTCTTTGTAAAGTGAAAAATAAACTTTTACTGAAATAGGGTGTTTCTTGGTCGTTAAAACTTAAAAAATGATGTTAATTACATATCATTGGTCCATCTACAACTGATTGTCATCCTCAATGTTAAATTTCTGTATTTTCAGAAATTCTATGATTTACGTATTATAAAGTGTGACATATGTTTGAAATGTTGTCCACCTGCAGCGACCCCTCATCAATGCGTGCCCCAGTTAACAATTGTATAGTAGTATACCTATCAACAACTTGGTGTTGCCCTCAGGAATTGCACTAGTGAAAAGTTAAAGATTAATTTTCTTTCTACAAGTCTCTTGTAAGATATATTTGAAATTTGGTATTGTTGATGTTTCCCTATTTGCCATTGTTTCTAGCTGAGTGGCTAGTGTTGTAGTGTGTGTGTTTAGCTAGAGCTGTGACAGGTTGTGGGACATGATGGTGACTGTATAGTTACTAACTTATAGAGACACTAGTGATGACCAATAACATGTTCACTCACTGCACTTGCTAGGAATTAGAACAAAGTAAGAGCGCTCTGTCACAGAATGAATTATAGTGTCCAGTGGAAGATTTAAGTGATTATACATAAGTGGAAGAGAAAGTAAGCTACTTAAATGATGAAACTTAATTGTAATCCAAAGTAAAAGAAGTAAGTGCTCTGATGCAATGATGCTCAGTTAATGACTGATATATATTTCAGTCTTTTTACACAATAATTCAATTCACGATTATGACCTATGGTCTGTGTCAAACTTTTATATAAGTGATATAACAGTGCTTGTTGTTGGCTGGACCGTTTTTCAGACATTTGTTTGAGACTAATGACTGGTTTATGTTGCAGGACAACTCTAAATTACTGGGACTGGTCACAGCGCTCCAGGAGAAAGTGGAGGCACAGGACGGTCTAATTGGTGAATTACAGAAGAGAGTTGCCGCTTTGGAGGCAGCTGCCGAATCCAAAGAGGAAGACAATTGACATCTCCATGATTACTGTACATAGACAGCCAGTGGTGGCTACGGTATGTAATAGACATTATGATGCAGCAATAATGACATGTGAACAGGTGGCAGGAGGACTCTGTACAGATAGCATGTCCTCTCCTCACCAGTTAACTACAAGGAGATCATAACACTGTGTATAATTGTACAGACATCGAGACAATATACATATGCAACAATAATTCACACTATCTGTATAAAATTAGCATGTGGAACAAAGTGCTATTCTGTACAGCTATCAGAACTTTTGTTTTCTCTCTCTGATGTTTTCACTGGGGAAACATGAACATAATTGGCAATTAATATGTAGCTAAAATTTTAACAAAGGTTTTAACACCTTTGTAACATAGTGTAAAAAAATCATTGTTTTTGTACCACGCTTAGGTTATCACAATGTTTTCCATTTGATGAAAGTAATTGAATGGGTAGGAGCAGTGTTAATAATTTATCATCATGGTCATAAATTTTAAATGTTATGCAGAACCAAGTAACAGTAATTGGCATTTTAACCCTCATAAATAGCAGCAATGTTATTGACTTCACTGTGCTAATGTTGTTGTTGGTGGTCACCTGTTACAGTTTTCAGGTATCACTGACAATGACACTCCCATTTAAACCTTCTGGTAGCGTTCAACTGTTGCCTATTACTATATTTAGAAGATGTTAAGCATGGCATGGCAAAAAAATAATGTTTTGTACCGAGTCAAGCACATAACCTATAGATAAAGAGTTGAAGCATGTTGTGATATTCAGAATGTTAAATCAGGAGGGACCATTACCATTTATGTGGAGATCATAATATTTTACAAAAAGAAAGTTCAATATTACTTGAATATTGGAGAGTTACAAGTGTGATTTCCTCCCTCCCAGTAAGTTACCAATCACACAGATTTGACCTTTAAACAGAATGGTGTGTGTAGTTACCTTAACTCTGAACCAGACCTTCACCAGTCTAGTAAACCTAAAACTCTGAACCAGACCTTCACCAGTCTAGTAAACCTAAAACTCTGAACCAGACCTTCACCAGTCTAGTAAACCTAAAACTCTGAACCAGACCTTCACCAGTCTAGTAAACCTAAAACTCTGAACCAGACCTTCACCAGTCTAGTAAACCTAAAACTCTGAACCAGACCTTCACCAGTCTAGTAAACCTAAAACTCTGAACCAGACCTTCACCAGTCTAGTAAACCTAAAACTCTGAACCAGACCTTCACCAGTCTAGTAAACCTAAAACTCTGAACCAGACCTTCACCAGTCTAGTAAACCTAAAACTCTGAACCAGACCTTCACCAGTCTAGTAAACCTAAAACTCTGAACCAGACCTTCACCAGTCTAGTAAACCTAAAACTAACAACAGTTTAAACTATTGATGTATTTAGTATCCAACATCAAAACCTCAAGATAATCACCTCTCTTCCTTGAAGCGGTTTTGAAAAAAACTTAATTCATTTTATTTATTATAAATTTTGTTTTTAGAGAGAGAAAAAAAGACTATTTTCCCCATGCTGCTGAAATCCAGATTATTTTCAGATATTTTTTTCATATTCCCCCCGAGATTTACCTTTTTAAGAAATTTTAGTATCTTTGTATATTGTTGAGTTGATGCTCTGTTAAAAAGATCCCTATGTCCACTATTATCCACCATTTTTCAGTAGTACTGTATGATAACATGTCGGAACAACTAAGCTGGCTCTTTACCGAGACTAATATTGGTAGACCCATTAAGCAATGAACAACAAAACAATAGCTGATGTGTAGGGATCATAGTTTCTGGTTTTATAGGAGAATTTTTAATCAAACCTTTGTAAAGTACATTTAATTTAACCTTCTACCCTATTTACACCATTTACAATTCATTATATATATACAAAAGCAAATGTATATATATTCCATTACACAATATAATTTGCTTTGTGTTTTTGTACATAACATGCTTTTGCTGAATTGAATTTTTATGTATTAACTTTCCAAACTTGTCTTGGAATATTGCTGCTTTATTGTTGGCTATTGTGGATGATTATTTTTTTGTCCTTAGCCTGAGAAATGACTATTCAGGGATACAACAGTTACATCTAGCTACTAGCTAACCACCACTGTCAGACATGTACAGAAAGACAAGTAGATGACCAGTGATCTGGTGTACAGGAGTAGGATTACTAGGAGTTACTCTGTTAAACCTGTGTACTGAATTATCAAGTCCAACTCTTATTCAGGGACTACTAGATTAGGTATTTAAACTTCTACATGGTTAGTAATTCTAATGTATACATGGATACTAGGTTAGCTATTCTAACGTATACATGGATACTAGGTTAGCTATTCTAATGTATACATGGATACTAGGTTAGCTATTCTAACATATACATGGATACTAGGTTAGCTATTCTAACGTATACATGGATACTAGGTTAGCTATTCTAGCGTATACATGGATACTAGGTTAGCTATTCTAACATATACATGAATACTAGGTTAGCTATTATAACATATACATGGTTACTATGTTAGTAATTATAACGTATACATGGATACTAGGTTAGATATTCTAACGTATACATGGATACCAGGTTAGATATTCTAACTTCTACATGGTTACAAGGTTAGCTATTTCAGCTGTTTAACACTTCAAATGTTTTAAGAGAATTCACACAGTGAAGTATACTGGAATGTAATTCTATCTTATTCAGATTATATTTTTGGACATACGAGGGCCACTGTATCAAAGCTATATTATAGATGTTTACAAAGTAACTTGTGCCAATTCTATGACATTTATACTTAGCAATCTTTTCAGCATTGTATGGAAGAAATATCATGTCAGGAAGGGGGAAGCTAAAAGCAAAATTTTACTGTTAAATTAAGAAATTTTCACATTACTTCTATGTTAAAACTTTGATTCTGCATTAAACTTTTGTTTGGATGACATAAATTTTGGAAAAATGAAGCAGAAACAACTTTTCCTGTTTTATTATTATTCTTGTCCACCACCTGGTTCGGTATTTGCCCTGCTTGTGTACATTAAGGGAGAATAACAGATCCCCACTGAATACCAAATAATTTGTAATTCATGAATGGGGCAAAATGGCATTTTTGTTACACTTTGTGTTGCGGGGGGGGGGGGGGGGGAACTAATTAAAAATGATTTTTAATATACACTGGCACTATGTAATTAATTATTTCTTATCTCTGTACAGATTTATAATTTAACTGTATACATGTTAGTAACGTAACACTTAACTATGCAGAGCTTTGTAACTTACCTGTGTGCTGTACATGTTTGTAACTTACCCGTGTACTGTACAGGTTTGTAACTTACCCGTGTACTGTACATGTTTTGTAACTTACCCGTGTACTGTACATGTTTGTAACTTACCCATGTACTGTACATGTTTTGTAACTTACCGGTGTACTGTACATGTTTGTAACTTACCTGTGTAGAGGTTTGTAACTACCTGTGTACAGGTTGGTAACTTACCTGTGAGCAGGTTTGTAACTTACCGGTGTACTCAAGATTTTTATTGACACTCAGTGTACAGGTTTGTAACTTACCCGTGTACTGTACATGTTTGTAACTTACCTGTGTACAGGTTTGTAACTACCTGTGTACAGGTTGGTAACTTACCTCTGAGCAGGTTTGTAATTTACCTGTGTACAGGTTTGTAACTTACATATGGAAAGGTTTGTAACTTACCTGAGTACATATTTATAACTTACCTGTGTACAGGTTTGTAACTTACCTGTGTACAGGTTGGTAACTTACCTATGCAGAGGTTTGTGACTTACCTGTGTATAGATTTATAACTTGCCTGTGTACAGGTTTGTAATTTACCTGTGTACAGGTTTGTAACTTACCTGTGTACAGATTTATAACCTACCTGTGTACAAATCAGTGTACAGATGTAACCTTACCTGTATACAGGTTTGGATTCCTATGTAAATACTTGTACTGAACTGTGTATGCTGGTGTCACATGACTGTCAGACCATGTTCAATTATGTTACTACTTGAACTTCGTTATCTTAAACAATGTTTAGTTACAAAAGAACATGCTGATTATGACTGAACTGTTTTGCTTCTTATGTGTATATCTGTATATTTGTAGCTTGTATATTTATCTGCATAAATCTTTACTAATCTTATATTTTTAATCATTATTCTTTTGTAGCTGCTATGTAGTGAACTAACCACACAAGTACTTGTCTTATTTCAAAATTGTTTCCAGACCTGTTTTTATTATAAAGTTGTAAGAAAATAATTATCTGACTTATTCTCGTAGTCCTTGCACTATTTTGTGTTAGATTGTTGTGCAGTAGTAGAGGAATAGCAGAGAACCTGCAAAAGTGTTATCACTGTAGGATTATTGACCTAAAATTGAATGTTTGATGTCTTAATGGATGTATTTTTTTTAATTCTAAATTTTAAGAAAATTTTATTATTCAGTTCAACCCAAGACCAGAATATGATGATAATGGCACATAAAAATAATAACAGATAACAAATGTTGTCTTTAAAAGTAAACTGCTGCAGGGTTAAAGGATTATAATTTACCACGTAAACGGCGTCACCCAAAGGAACACTATATACCTTGGTAAGATAAACTCTGGAATCAATTGGAGAGGAGGTGTACTTGTAGCTTCCGGACTGTACATATAGGCTAACAGCAGCAGATAGAGAGCATTCCATGTGTAAATGATTAAACTTGGTGCTGAGAGGAAATGTGAGCTAAGTGCCCTTAAATCTCTTACATGCATGTTCACTTTGAATTGGGCTGGATTCTTATTGTTGAAAGGTGTGTGTTTTTGTTTGTTTTGTTTGGCTGAACATGTGTAGTAACAAATGGGAATCATTGGAATTGACACATTAGAGATGCTACCAAACTGAAGTCATCACCTGGAGAGAAAAAAAAAATTTGTCTTAACTGAAGTGGTTTTAGGAGAAGAATGTCTTTCAAGTTTGTAATTTATTCAAATTAATCATATCCCATGCAAACTTTTATGTTTTTCACCAGTAAAGCTTTTGTAAGCACTGATTCGAAGCAATATTTTTCGTATTTGGCTACTTCATCTCTATTGTGAAGTTTTAATGCTAAATGTTCCATCAGTTGATGTGTTTCCTAAGCATGCAAATAACGTTTCGTTTACACAGTGACGAATGGACACAATTTAGCAAGGGGGATAATTTTATTGCCGATCAAGTTGTTTTTATAAGCTCACCAGGAAACATGTCGTCATACTAAAATGCTCATTATCTGTTAATTAAGACATGCTGCTTTTGCAAATCAGCGATTATTATATATGTAAATATAGATTCTGTTTAAGTGCTGATCAAAAATACTGCGAAGTGTTGAATGAGGAATAGTCCAACAACGCTAAAATGTGTATATGTTGTTAAGACTTTATTACGCTAAGAAAAATAATCCAGGTGGCACACTATATATTATTCAACTGCTGCAGCATCAATTTTGGGAGGATTTTCTGAATTTTTTCTTTGCAGAGAGGTAACTAAATACCAGATTTTACCCCAGGTTTAACAGTGGAATCCTCTGTAAATAGGAAATAGTAAGAACTGTACAAATATATTTATATTTGAATTATAAGATAATTTAGTTATTGATAATTACCTCCTATGTTCAAGGACGTTGATTTGTTAATACACCTTTAATTAACTGAATGACTTGCATTCATCAGATGTACTTGAGATTGAAACTTGAAATAATGCCTTCAAATTGGAGACTTGCTTCTGTTTGTATGTGCAGGTGACCTGGGTTTGAAGCCTTTTCAGAAGCCAGGTTCAGTTAATTGTTATTTTGAATACAAAATATTTATCAGTGGACTAATTATATGATGTACAAGAATATCTCTCAATGTCTAAAATGCTCTTTCATTATTAAAATTAAACCAACTGGATAATTGTTTTTGTGTTACTGCTTTATGCACATTCGGACCAAAAGCTGAGAGCGTAATAGAAAAATAAAAATGGCCATAGCGTCGACAACAAAGAATAAAATTGAAGGCAGACAGGAATAAAAAGATATAAAGATATCAGATTCCAGCTACCAAAGCTATCGGTTATTTAGATAAATTTCATATTATTGTCAGAGTTTTAGAATTTAAGTTAATTCATCTTTATCATAACATGTCATGTCATGACATTCATTTGGGTTACAAAAAAGATTGAAATGTTATGTTTGAACCATTTTTGTAAGGAAATTGGCCTTAATGTCGTATAACAGACTAAAGTAAACGTCGCTTTGTACCATTTTAATAACTAAAGTATAAGTTCATTATGCCCAGCTTGCTTTTCTAAATTGAGCACTTACCTTGAATTTCTATACATATGTATTGTACCGTAACAAACGTACATGATGTTGCTAATTACGTATTATAATTTAATTCTGAAATTTAATCGCAACTACTTTTGATCACAAAAAGAAGTCCTATTTTACTATCAGAAAACCGTTGTTCATCAAATCAAAAGTTTTGAAATTGAGTTCAACTGTATATCACATATCGAATGTCTTCTTACTCTTCCTGATACGCAAGAATACACGGAAGTCTATCTTGCCCTATTCAACAAAGATATTAAATATGTATTATTTGCTTTGTTTTACAAACGACATTTTAGCTAATTATACATTTTCTCTCAATCCTCGACATAGTTTTATCTCTTGTATCCAAAATATCGAATTAATATTTTGATTTTGAATTATGTAACAGAGACACCCAAGGCCATTCCTGGTATCGGTACTGATGAGGCTCCCAACTGTTTCCAAGTTGTGACCTAGACACTAAGTCTCTAGATATAGGTGTATGATCAGACGACAGGGTCAGTTCTACTGCCACGAGTGTGTTTGTTTCTTTATTCTCAGCAATGGTATATATGGTTACAAGGTGTTGATCTCGACATTTTCAAAGATATGACTCGGAAACTAGTTCCCTAGGTGTGTGGCTGGACCCCAAGGGCAATTTAAAACCTTAGTTGTGTTTGTCTCTTTATGTGCAGCAATTATGTATATGGTTATTGGGTTGGGATATACCCGTTTCAATGTTATTACATAGGGACTAAGTATTCAAGGGTTGGGCCAGACCCCAAGGCAAACGCTTGTAGCATTCATTTCAGTGGGGATCTCAATCGTTTCAGTGTTATGACCATGGTAGTAAGTTCACATTCCAAGAAGGCCACCTGTCCTCTAATTGACAGTGTTTTTTTTCAACTTCTCGGCTACCGCCAGGGCGATGGTAACCAACCCTGACAAGAATGATTCTCTCAAGGATTCTTACAGGTGATGTTTTGAAGTATGAAATAACACCCAAGTCTTTCGATAAAAACAGTTTTGACTATTGTGTTTATCTGGCAAACCCTAGCTTGTTTATAATCACTTCGTAGATATAGAAATCGTTTGTCAGTCCGTTAATGTGTCCATGGATCAAAAGATGTGTACAATTCATTGCACAAACCCAGCGACAGCCTTACTTTATAAACCACTCTGTATACCACGGTATGATGAATTTAATTGGTCATCGGTCAAGGTTTAAGGGGCAGTTTCACTCTTTACCACTTTGGAGTTTGAGGTTATCTGTGTGAGCCCCTGCTCATTTATTTTCGGTTTTTCTCGTATGTTCCAATTTATCAAATTAATCCATTTACCATGGCTTTATTCACAACAACAAAATTTAAGGCGATATTTTTTAAATAGTTCGAATCGAAAATGTTCCAGCCAATCAAAGGCCACAGTGACTAATTTGGATTTAGATTTTCGGATCAGGACTAAAGGTAAAAACAGTTGTTGGGGACCTCATCAACAACTTTTGTATTATGTTTGAAGTGAAGCACTTTGGCCATTCTTGAGAGAGTTTCGAAAATGTCTCGCTCAAATAAAATCTTTGATTTTCGAACTGGTACGAAACTTCAAATATTTGGTCGGGACGTCATAAGGAACATTTGTACCTAGTTTGAAGTCCATCAGTTTATTGGTTCTAAAGAAAAAGTCGAAAATGTAAATTGTTAACGAACGGCAGTGGACCAAGACAGATACCAAAAGACTCCGTGATCATTTGAGCTACACTAAAAACAATCGAGACATTTTGTCTATGTATTTTTTTTTAATAAACTTAGAAAACAACAACACTGACACAAGAAGATAATAATTAAATATTACAAATTGAATTTTGTTTGGATCATAATTATGCCCATTGACTGCATACGACTAATCTCCATTATATACCCGAAAAAATAGTCCACCTTTCCGCACTAGAATACCCTTTCCTAGAACATTCTGACTTTCTGTCCAATTTTGTAGATATTAAGAAAATACACATTGACTTGATCTAATTCTGGCCCTTGTGTATCCTGCCATCATTTTGATAATCTAGACCAATGAAGTGTATAAACAAGTAAGAAAGACAATAATTGAGACATGTGTGAGTTGAAATAAGGCTACCGAGAAACAAAATCCTGTCATCATCTTATGTAGTGTATACTGGTTTGCAGCAACCGTGTCTTTATTCACCACATTTACACACGAACGAATCGAACGCGCTTGTAAAAATTACGCCTCCAATATAACCGACACCTGCTCTAGCACCACAGCAAGCCAAGGAACCAAACCAGGCGGAACCAACTCCTGAAACAAACAATTTATGGTTTTCAATATTGCAGAGTTTAATTACCGCGTACATGCTGTTATACAATATACATATATGTACTAGTATATCCAAGTGCTGGTAATAAATATTAACACACAGCGTTAATGAAAACGCTAAGATGTAAATATTTTGGACCTCATATATCCATTCCGAATAAAACGAAAACCAATTGAAAGTAACCTATTCCAGTGGCCCTATGTTATGCATAAGATTCCATCAATATTATTCAAACGTATCATAGGAAGTAACACTTTATTCGATTTGACAAAGGAAACACAAGGTATTTACATTTTGTATCAATAACAAGGAAAACTTTGGGAATAACAAGCTGGAAAATACATAGTATAACCTTACCTGTCACCACCAGCATCATCATCAAGAGAACTATCGTCACCATTTGTCTGTAATCCATGTTTATAACGCGAATGTCAGAGCTCTGTAGGGAAGACAATACAGATACAAGAAATAACCTAGACATTCAATCAGGAACAGGAGATCATTTTTATTTTAAAACACAGAAATACACACAGGATCAGAATTGGCAGAAATTGAGAAACATAAATGCGTTATTTCTGTATAAGGTCTTCATTGTTGTGTTATGTTATTATTGCATATTTATTAAGCAGTATAATACCAAGTAGATTACGGAATTTTAAGTCAGATAATGAATTCAAAAACGATTTACCTCCATTGCACTTTCGTTATTTACTTCTTAGAATCACAGAAATTTCATTTTCTTTTCCGACTTAGATTTTATCTATTCAAACAATTCAACATTTTTTCTTTACTATTTTGTAAAATCCGTCAATTATATTCCTAGTTTTTTTTAATTCGTATGCTGCGAATACATGTCACCGAACTGAATATTCGCCTCAACTGCAGAATTAATTGCTCAAACAGAACGTAGGCCTACCTTCCTACGTGGCAGCACCGTATAGACTGTGCAACTCCGTTGTCGTCAAACGTTACACAAACAAATCCATATATGTATTTATAACCAAATGCTAATTTTCTACCCTATTGATAAAGAGAAAATAGTTGTAAACCGGTTTGAAACCTAATATGCAGTATCATCGAAATATATATGGTAAAACCCTTGTCATGGCTCGGTTCCAAATACTGCACAAGCGTATCAGATTTGTATTGAATGATTTCAAGATTTTTATTGACACTCAGACACATAATATGTGTTACATGAGGAAATAAAGTTGCAGATATGGAAAATGAAGTACAATATACATATTTGTATACACATGTATAACTGAAAGAATGGGCAGTTATAAAGTAACATGATATGACATACAATGAAAAATCCAACGCAAACATAAAACACTTACATATAATTCCCAAGTTATTGAACTATTAACAGTTATACATATGCATCATTCACAAAAGAGTAGCCATTTTGGTTAGGAAAATAGATATACCTGTCAGAACTCGTTGATTGCATAATGATAAAAGACCTTTAAACTTGTAAATATTTGGGTTTGTACAATAATAACGAGGAATATATTTGTTACGTAACGTGGATATAGTTATATTATTGCATTCAAATAGATAATGAAATTCATCCCCGAAATGAGAATATCTATTTATAACAGGTAAATATATGGTATGGTAATCTGCAGCGCATAAAAGACAACACGACTGTATTTCACAAATGAACGTGTAAATTTGTGTGTTTTGTCAATAGTACTCTCTGGGGACATTCTCTTCTTATTTTACTGAACATATCTCATGAACAAATATAATTGGGCAACAAACCTAGTTATCGTCTTTCACAAAGTTAACGGACAAATCGTCCGTACTTTTAAAAAGTGTAAACAAGATATATCTTATGAAATCCAAATGAATTTTACATTTAACTCCGTGAAAGTGAATTAAGGTCATCCATTTAAACAAACTTGGTAACCCTTACCCATGCAGGCTGCAGGCACACAGGCCAAATACCATCACCCTTGACCTTTTGGGAAAGAATTTGTTCAACGATTTTGACACGTTTGACCTTTGTGGCCTTGAAAGTAGGTCAGAGTTTTTCTTTTGAAAAACAACTTGGTAGCCTTCAACCTAGTATGCTACTGGCCAGATATCATCACCCTTGTGCTAAAACGCTTGTGTAACAAACGCGACAACAAATTACATGCCATTTACACCATTTGCGTATGAGTAGAAGAGAGATTGAGATTGGGACGGGGGAAATAGGTGGGGTTTGGTTATGTGAGCCTCTGTTTACTTTGTTTTATTATAACTGAATTATTATGAGAATAGCTTGATATCCACTGCCTTGGAGTTAACTCGACTTCAGAAGAGGAAAGATTTGGTTGAACACAATTCCAGCATGTACATGGCGAGGATTCTATATTATCTTTTCTTAATCTCAATCCATATACTAGATAAATGGAGCATGCGTACAGGGGCCTTAAGTTGTACTGAATTAGTACTGTAGCTTCATGTATTATGTTAAATGAACTGTAATATCAAACACTTGAAAAAAAGTTTACCTGTATATTTCGGTCATACAGTTTACAATATTGACATTTGTGCTGCAATGTAAATAACAAACTACACCAAGTTAACTTTGTTTTGGGTCCTCAGACCACCGGTTCGATTCGTCGGTAAGTACACGTATACTATAATCTAATAGGTATATTGACAGTCATAGGTACGAGCCTCGTCTGTCGACACACCTATACTATAATCTAATAGGTGTATTGACAGTCACAGGTAGGAGCATCGTCTGTCAATACACCTATACTATAATCTAATAGGTATATTGACAGTCACGGGTACGAGCCTCGTCTGTCGATACACCTATACTATATTCTAATAGGTTTATTGACAGTCACAGGTACGAGCCTCGTCTGTCGACACACCTATACTATAATCTAATAGGTGTGTTGACAGTCACAGGTAGGAGCATCGTCTGTCAATACCCCTATACTATAATCTAATAGGTATATTGACAGACACAGGTACGAGCCTCGTCTGTCGATACACCTATACTATAATCTAATAGGTGGATTGACAGTCACAGGTACGAGCCTCGTCTGTTAATACACCTATACTATGGTCTAATAGGTGTATTAACAGTCACAGGTACGAGCCTCGTCTGTCGATACACCTATCCTATAATCTAATAGGTGTATTGACAGTCACAGGGACGAGCCTCGTCTGTCGATACACCTATACTATATTCTAATAGGTTTATTGACAGTCACAGGTACGAGCCTCGTCTGTTAATACACCTATACTATGGTCTAATAGGTGTATTAACAGTCACAGGTACGAGCCTCGTCTGTCGATACCCCTATACTATAATCTAATAGGTGTATGGGCAGTCACAGGTCCGAGCCTCGTCTGTCAATACACCTATACTATGGTCTAATAGGTGTATTAACAGTCACAGGTACGAGCCTCGTCTGTCGATACCCCTATACTATAATCTAATAGGTGTATTGGCAGTCACAGGTACGAGCCTCGTCTGTCAATACACCTATCCTATAATCTAATAGGTATATTGACAGTCACAGGTACGAGCCTCGTCTTTTAATACACCTATACTATGGGCTAATAGGTGTATTGACAGTCACAGGTACGAGCCTCGTCTTTTAATACACCTATACTATGGTATAATAGGTATATTGACAGTCACAGGTACGAGCCTCGTCTGTTAATACACCTATACTATGGTCTAATAGGTGTATTGACAGTTACAGGTACGAGCCTCGTCTGTCGATACACCTATACTATAATCTAATAGGTGAACAGACGAGGCTAGTACCTGTGATCCAAAAACAAAAATGAGCAGGTAGTACGACACGATGCGGTTCATGTCATTTACCTGTAATGCATTTGGAATCCATATCGCCTATAAACCGCATATGCAAGTTTGATGTCATATATATATAGCACAATCGTTTCAAAACACAGAAATTCACTTAAGCTCAGAATGGCGGATAGTTGTCTTAAAGAATTTAAATATATTCACTTGTTTCTGTTAAAAGGCTCTAATGGTAGGTTATTTCATCATTTTGTACAACATAAGGGATTAAAGAATTGCGGACATATTCTCATATAACAATTCGCGGAAAATGGTTTCAAAATACATTTTATCGCCATCGCATTTTCGTTATTTACTTCTTGGAATCACAGGAATTTACTTTTCTTTTCTGAATGTAATTTTATCCATTAAAATCATTTCACACATTTGCTTTGCTAATTTGTAATAATTATCAATCATATCCCTAGTGTTTTAGTTTAGTTCTAATGCTGCAAATACTTACGTATCACCGAACTGAATATTCACCACAACTGCAGAATTAATTGCTCAAACAGAAACGTAGACCTACTTTGCTACGTGGCAGCACCGTATAGACTGTGCAACTCCGTTGTCGTCAACAGTTTAGCAAACAAATCGGAAATGTATTTTTATTGCAAAATGACAATGCTCTATCCTGTTGACAAAGAGGAAGTAATTGTAAACCGGTTTTGAAACCTACTACGCAGTATCATCGAAATATATAAGGTAGAACCTTTTTATGGTTCGGTTTAAAATGATGAATAAGCGTATGAGTTTTGTTTTAGAACCTATATTGAGAACAGGTAAATACCAGGTTTGATCATCTGCAGCGCATAGAAAAGCAACATGACCGTATTTCACAGACAGACATAGACACGTAGCTAAGTGCACGTAAGTTACGTAGGGGGTGTTTCACGAAACCGTACGTAACTTTTCACATTTACGTACAGGTTTACATGCCCATAAATTATACCGGAAGTGAATTATCCAAAATGATGTGATCATCCTTAGGTTTGAAGCGGTTACAATCGTGGACAGAACTTTTAGAAGTGGAACTCTCTAGTGTCATTTGTTCACCTAATTAGAGCCCCATTTAACTACAGATACCTGAGCATTTGTTACAGCTATACTTGGACCTAAACTAAGATGTTCAAAGTAATTTTACATGTTTAAGGGGTTTAGATCGACTTCCGGAAAAAAGGACGACCCGAATGATCATATATAGCAGAAGGGAGGAAAGATCTCGATGTCGACCCCACCTAACTTTCTTGCCTCAAAAACAACATTTCTAGTTGATCTACAGGAAAACGTTTAGTACCGTGGGAATGATGGATAAGTTTTCTTTTAAAAACCTCTTATATGCACGTAAAATGTATTCTCCTTCGGTGGACATGAACTCCGTTTCCTCCAAAAACACACGCCATTTCAGATTTTCAAAGTTTTTTCGCAGTCAGCCTGCCACGTCATTTTCTATTGTGACGTTATGCTCAAGGCATTTGTTTCCTCCATCGATAAAACATGATGCATTTCCCGAGTGAGAAACATGTCCCCAAACTCGTGATGATTAGTTATGTTTATATAACTCTCGTTAGTTAATTTTCAAATTGTAAAGACACTCGGTAAACCTACTGTATTTATACAATTTGAAGATTAACTAACTCGATTTAGATAAACATGGTAACCAACCACCACTCGGTGGGGAGCCTCAATTCTGCAGATGTACGCAAAAAGTCGATAAAATGGGAAATATTAAGAACTGTACAAATATATTTATTTTTGAATTACAAGATAATTTAGTTATGTCAAATTGATAATTACCTCTTTTGTTCAAGGACGTTGATTTGTTAATACACCTTTAATTAACTGAATGACTCGCATTCGTCAGATGTACTTGAGATTGAAACTTGAAATAATGCCTTCAAATTAGAGACTTGTTCTGTTTGTATGTGCAGATAACCTGGGTTTGAAGCCTTTTTAGAGGCCAGGTTGAGTTAATTGTTATTTTGAATACAATGTATTTATTAATGGGCTAATTATATGATGTACAAGAATATCTCTCAATGTCTAAAATGCTCTTTCATTGTTAAAATTAAACCAACTGGATAATTGTTTTTGTGTTACTGCTTTATGCACATTCGGACCAAAAGCTGAAAGCTTAATAGAAAAATAAAAACGGTCATAGCGTCGACAACAATGAATAAAATTGAAGGCAGACAGGAATAAAAACATATCCAACATTCTGTTCTCAATCTCATTTCATGCTATAAAAGACTCATTATTTTGTCAACAGTTGATTTTGAAACAACATGTTTTAATGGTATTAAAATATAAGGTGGGCGCTCATTGTAGTTTCAAAAGTTGGTCACATTTAGGAATACGTCCATTCTCCACTTTTCCCTCTTTTCAGTTAAGTATCTCCTGCGAAATATGTCATGTACTACATGCACTGCAGTAGTTCTCTGGTCTGACATGAGACAGTATGGGGGACAGGACCTTGGCATTCCTACTTCTGGTCTTAATGCCACATGACACTTTCTACCTCACATCTTGTATGCTATTTTACCAAAAATATCGGATTCCAGCCACCAAACCTATCGGTCATTTAGATAAATTTTCATATTATTGTCAGATTTTTAGAATTTAAGTTAATTCATCTTTATTACAAAATTTCATTTCATAACATTCATTTTGGTTACAAAATGATTGAAATGTTTATGTCTGTGAACCATTTTTGTAAGGAAATTGGCTGTAATGTCGTATAACTAAAGTAAACGTCGCTTTGTAACATTTTAATAACTAAAGTTTAAGTTCATTATATCCAGCTCACTTGTCTCAATTGAGCACTTACCTTGAATTTCTATATTGTACCGTAACAAACGTACATGATGTTGCTAATTATGTACTAGAATTAAATTATTCAATTTAATCGCAACTACTTTTGATCACAATAATCAGTCCTATTTTGCTATCAGAAAACCGTTGTTCATTAAATCGAACGTTAAGTCATACAGTTTGGAAATTGAGTTCAACTGCATATCACATATCGAATGTCTTCTTACTCTTCCTGATACGCAAGAATACACGGAAGTCTATCTTGCCCTATTCAACAAAGATATTAAATATGTATTATTTGCTTTGTTTTACAAACGACAATTTAGCTAAATTATACATTTTCTCTCAATCCTCAACATAGTTTTATCTCTTGTATCCAAAATATCGAATTAATATTTTGATTTTGAATTATGTAACAGAGACACATAAGGCCATTCCTCGTATCGGTACTGATGAGGCTCCCAACTGTTTCAAAGTTGGGACCTAGACACTAAGTCTCTAGATATAGGTGTATGATCAGACCACAGGGTCAGTTCTACTGCCACGATTATGTTTGTTTCTTTATTCTCAGCAATGGTATATATGGTTACAAGGTGTTGATCTCGACTCAGAACATAATTCCCTAAGGGTGTGGCTGGACCCCAAGGGCAATTTAAAACATTAATTGTGTTTGTCTCTTTATCTCCAGCAATTGTATATATGGTTATTGGGTTGGTATATACCCGTTTCAATGTTATTACCTAGGGACTAAGTCTTCAAGGGTTGGGCCAGACCCCAAGGCAAGCGCTTGTAGCATTCATTTCTTTACGTCAAGCAATGGTGTATATTCAAGAGGTGGGGATCTAAATCGTTTCAGTGTTATGACCATGGTAGTAAGTTCACATTCCAAGAAGGCCACCTGTCCTCTGATTGACAGTGATTTTTTTCAACTTCTCAGCTACCACCAGGGCGATGGTAACCAACCCTGACAAGAATGATTCTCTCAAGGATTCTTACAGGTGATGTTTTGAAGGATGAAATAACACCCAAGTCTTTTGATGAAAACAGTTTTGGCTATTGTGTTTATCTGGCAAACCCTAGCTTGTTTATAATCACTTCGTAGGCTGGATATAGAAATCGTTTGTCAGTCCGTTAATGTGTCCATAGATCAAAGGATGTGTACAATTCATTGCACAAACCCAGCGACAGCCTTACTTTATAAACCACTCTATATTCCGCGGTATGATGAATTTAATTGGTCATCGGTTAAGGTTTAAGGGGCAGTTTCACTCTTTACCACTTTGGAGTTTGAGGTTATCTGTATGAGCCCCTGCTCATTTATTTTCGGTTTTTTCCTTATGTTCCAATTTATCAAATTAATCCATTTACCATGGCTTTATTTACAACAACAAAATTTAAGGCGATATGTTTTAAATAGTTCGAATCGAAAATGTTCCAGCCAATCAAAGGCCACAGTGACTAATTTGGATTTAGATTTTCGGATCAGGACTAAAGGTAAAAACAGTTGTTGGGGACCTCATCAACAACTTTTGTGTTATGTTTGAAGTGAAGCACTTTGGCCATTCTTGAGAGAGTTTCAAAAATATCTCGCTCAAATAGAGGCCTTAATTGGTGGTCATCTTTGATTTTCGAACTGGTTCGAAACTTCAAATATTTGGTCGGGACGTCATAAGGAACATTTGTACCTAGTTTGAAGTCCATCAGAGTTTATTGGTTCTAAAGAAAAAGTCGAAAATGTCAATTGTTAACGAACGGCAGTGGACCAAGACAGATACCAAAAGACTCCGTGATCATTTGAGCTAAAAACAATCGAGACATTTTGTCTATGTATTTTTTTTAATAAACTTAGAAAACAACAACACTGACACAAGAAGATAATAATTAAATATTACAAATTGAATTTTGTTTGGATCATAATTATGCCCATTGACTGCATACAACTAATCTCCATTATATACCCGAAAAAATAGTCCACCTTTCCGCACTAGAATACCCTTTCCTAGAACATTCTGACTTTCTCTCCAATGCATACAGTTATTGAGAGTTTTGTAGATATTAAGAAAACAAACATTGGCTTGATCTAATTCTGGCCATCGTATATCCAGCCATCAGTTGGATAATCTAGACCAAGTAAGAAAGACAATAATTAAGACAGGTGTGAGTTGAAATAAGGCGACGGAGAAACAAAAACCTGTCATCATCTTATGTAGTGTATATTCACAAACATTTACACAAGGTCCAATCGAACGCGCTTGTTAAAATTGCGCCTCCATAATAACGGGCAACTCCTCTAGCAGCACAGCAAGCAATGTAACCACCCCAGGCGGAACCAACTCCTGAAACAAACAATTTATGGTTTTCAATATTGCTGAGTCGAATTTCCACGTACATGCTGTTATATATAAGAATATACAATATACATATATGAACACAGAGCGTTAATGAAAACGCTAAGATGTAAATATTTTACCTCATATATCCATTCGGAATACACAGATAACCAATTGAAAGTAACCTGTTCCAGTGGCCCTATGTTATGCATAAGATTCCATCAATATTATTCGAACGTATCATAGGAAGTAACACTTTATTCGATTTGACAAAGGAAACACAAGGTATTTACATTTTGTATCAATAACAAGGAAAACTTTGGGAATAACAAGCTGGAAAATACATAGTATAACCTTACCTGTCACCACCAGCATCATCATCAAGAGAACTATCGTCACCATTTGTCTGTAATCCATGTTTATAACGCGAATACCAGAGCTCTGCAAGGAGGACAATACAGATACAAGAAATAACCTAGACATTCAATCAGGAACAGGAGATCATTTTTATTTTAAAACACAGAAATACACACAGGATCAGAATTGGCAGAAATTGAGAAACATAAATGCGTTATTTCTGTATAAGGTCTCCATTGTTGTGTTATGTTATTATTGCATATTTATTAAGCAGTATAATACCAAGTAGATTACGGAATTTTAAGTACATAATCTCTTATAATAATTCTCAGAAAGTGAATTCAAAAAACGATTTACCTCCATTGCACTTTCGTTATTTACTTCTTAGAATCACAGAAATTTCATTTTCTTTTCCGACTTAGATTTTATCTATTCAAACAATTTAACATTTTTTCTTTACTATTTTGTAAAATCCGTCAATTATATTCCTAGTTGTTTTAATTCGTATGCTGCGAATACTTACATGTCACCGAACTGAATATTCGCCTCAACTGCAGAATTAATTGCTCAAACAGAAACGTAGGCCTACCTTCCTACGTGGCAGCACCGTATAGACTGTGCAACTCCGTTGTCGTCAAACGTTACACAAACAAATCCATATATGTATTTGTAACCAAATGCCAATTTTCTACCCTATTGATAAAGAGAAAGTAGTTGTAAACCGGTTTTGAAACCTAATACGCAGTATCATCGAAATATATATGGTAAAACCCTTGTCATGGCTCAGTTCCAAATACTGCACAAGCGTATCAGATTTGTATTGAATGATTTCAAGATTTTTATTGACACTCAGACACATAATATGGGTTACATGAGGAAATAAATTTGCAGATATGGAAAATGAAGTACAATATACATATTTGTATACACATGTATAACTGAAAGAATGGACAGTTATAAAGTAACATGATATGACATACAATGAAAAATACAACACAAACATAAAAAACCTACATATAATTCCCAAGTTATTGAACTGTTAACAGTTACACATATGCATCATTCACAAAAGAGGAGCCATTTTGGTTAGGAAAATAGATATACCTGTCAGAACTCGTTGATTGCATAATGATAAAAGACCTTTAAACTTGTAAATATTTGGGTTTGTACAATAATAACGAGGAATATATTTGTTACGTAAGGTGGATATAGTTATATTATTGCATTCAAATAGATAGTGAACTTTCATCCCCGAAATGAGAATATCTATTTATAACAGGTAAATATATGGTATGGTAATCTGCAGCGCATAAAAGACAACACGACTGTATTTCACAAATGAACGTGTAAATTTGTGTGTTTTGTCAATAGTACTCTCTGGGGACATTCTCTTCTTATTTTACTGAACATATCTCATTAACAAATATAATTGGGCAACAAACCTAGTTAATGTCTTTCACAAAGTTAACGGACAAATCGTCCGTACTTTTAAAAAGTGTGTACAAGATATATCTTATGAAATCCAAATGAATTTTACATTTAACCCCGTGAAAGTGAATTAAGGTCATCCATTTGAACAAACTTGGTAACCCTTACCCATGCAGGCTGCAGGCACACAGGCCAAATACCATCACCCTTGACCTTTTGGACCCTTACCTATGCTTGTTGCAGGCACACAGGCCAAATACCATCACCCTTGACCTTTTGGGAAAGAATTTGTTCAAAGAGTTAGACACGTTTGTCCTTTATGGCCTTGAAAGTAGGTTATTCTTTTGAAAAACAACTTGGTAGCCTTCAACCTAGTATGCTACTGGCCAGATATCATCACCCTTGTGCTAAAACGCTTATGTAACAAACGCGACAACAAATTACATGCCATTTACACCAGAAGAGAGATTGGGATTGGGACGGGGGAAATAGGTGGGGTTTGGTTATGTGAGCCTCTGTTTACTTTGTTTTATTATAACTGAATTATTGTGAGAATAGCTTGATATCCACTGTCTTGGAGTTAACTCGACTTCAGAATTGGAAAGATTTGGTTGAACACAATTCCAGCCAAAATTGATGTTTTTCCTTAATTCATTATTTGACATGTCAGCAGTGTCCTGTCCTTTCATTTGATCAGAGAATAACGGGATATATCATCAGCAATAAATTACCTGACGTCAGACATCAAATCAGTTATGTACAATAGAAATGATTCTGATCATTACAGTTTTTACGACCAATCAAGCAACCGGTTTGTGTATCCCAAACAAATAAGTATTACTTGCACTCAACCAATATTATTTTCACATTAAAGAAAGGTAGTTATAGAATCTCATTGCATCGCCAGTTTTAACTGTAGTAAATTAAGTTTTGCTATGTTTAATATTATGAAAATGATATGCTACAGACTGGAAAATACCATATTAGTATTTCATTATTAATATTGGTCAACTGAAGTTCTTTTGATTTTTTTTAACTTTTCAGAAGTGTACATTCTTAGGGGTTATCAATTTAATTGAAAACCATCCCAGACGACTCTCTGTCTACTATCATTAAGGTAAGATGAAATCATTAGAACATAGTATCACATACACAAGATATTGTGAATTTTGTTAATCAATAGATCAAATCAAAATACAAATTCCAGTTAAAGTCCCTGCTTATATCACAGAAAATTGTTTTAGTTTCCTAACCTTGTCTAGGTGCTTAACAGTTGCGTCGTATATGAACAATAATTTAGAAGGTTAATTCATAGGGCTTAAATTCTGACTTAGTGTTTGAAACAAATATTGTTAAGCCATTTTTTCCCACATAGTGTGTGAACATAAGAGTAACACATATGGATCAATAGATAGATGGGGAAGTGGCTTATTTTGTCTGGTTATGCCTCATAATTTGTTGATTTATTGGAAATGTACGATAAATGATAAGAGCTACAGAAGGTACATCGTATCCTCTGCCTATGCGTGACTTTTCACCCAGAACAAGTTGAGCTAAGATTTTGTATGGCCGGTGAAAGCCATCAACTTGGCACATCTCGCCTCAATGATGGATCATATGTCTTGAAACCCAACAAGCCTCCGTTTGGTTTACCAATTGTCCGACAATAAACTATAAACATTGACGTTATGCTTTTAACAAGATATTTATTTCAATGAATTAAAAGCATCCATCTATCGCCATCGCTTTTCAGCACATTAAATCACCACTCGACATAGCTAAACACACGTCATGTCCCATTCATCGTTAGCACGGCAAGGCATTCTGATCGTGAGCTTGATATAGTAGGATTTCATTTAAATAGTAATTAATAAGAAATCAGTTAAATAGAAATTTGTTTTAGTTGTTTGTTAGCCAATCTTCAAATATGTCAATATAAATTCGTTTACAATCACTCGAAAAAGGAAAAACAACATTTTCATGGTTCGTTTGTTTACATTTATAACACGGGGAGATATTGCTGAAAAGCGAATTCATGATTTGTTGAAAACTAATAACTGAATATATGTAATGTGATAACACATAGCTTTTAACCAAAGAAAAGTGTCGTTACATTGCGAACGTGGTCACATCAAAAATAACACGTATGTAATGATAAGCAATTTTAGTTGATCTTTTTAAACTGTTCTTAATTCCATAACATAGGTTCGTAAGCAGACCTTTTGATCAAGTAAGTGTAAGTTAAGCAAAATAAGTTGTCAATTGTACATATAATCATTTATTTGATTTAGTCTCTGTAGTCATTTGGAATTCATTCTAACAACCTGAAGTAAATTATTTTATACAAAAAAATATTGACTAATTAAGAAATATTCCGTGAAAAGAAAACCATTATCATGTCAGCGAGTTGATGCGTAGTTTCGACAATGGTCGCTATATTTAGTTACATTTGCACACGGTCTTTTCGACTAATCCTGATAACAATACGCCTCCAGTATAACGGGCACCCGCCTGAACAACGCAGCATGAAAAGTCGCCCAGCCACGAGGACAGAGCTCCTGAAATAAACAAGCTTGGGGCTCACAACAATGCTACTTTACTTAAGATAAACATATATTGCGTCCAATGTATATATCTTCAAAAATAAGCGTTATTGAAAACTGCTTAATGTACCTTGATTATCTTACGGTTTTTTCTGAACGTATACCGTTATACAGACCATACTTATTACCAATATTATATGTTGTAAAATATTTACAATCAATAAATGATATATTTCTCAAACGAACCGTAACTCCCAGACACCGATACCTAATTTTTCATAGAAAACACAACTACAGTTGCACAGGTTCGTTGTTAAATTGTACGGATAACGTACGAATACTAATAAACAATTGGGAATGTAGTAACTAGTGAGTAACTCACCAGTCACCAGCAGTAGCAACAGCAAGACTAACCACATCCGAACTTGTCTGTAATCCATAATTGTAGATCGAATCTGAGACTGCTGCAAAGAAAGCAACATGACTAAAAGTGATGACCGAATCATAAAATCAGGGACAGAAGATCCATATCGTTATTGAATATTGTTAGTACGATTGTCTTAGAACATTTATAACAAGAAGGATTAGGAAGGCTTTGGATAACTTTATCCATGAGGAATACAAGTGTCTTTCCTGATCGTTGATACTGTACATTAATGATAATTTAACAATTAATATGTGTTCATAATATAAAGGAGCACACTCCGTAGATGGATCAGGATCACTGTACACGGCGAGGATTCTATATTATCTTATCTTAATCTCAATCCACATACTAGATAAATGGAGCATGCGTACAGGGGCAAATGAACTGTGATATCAAACACTTGAAAAAAAGTTTACCTGTATATTTCAGTCAAATAGTTTACAATATTGACATTTGTGCTGCAATGTAAATAACAAAATACACCTAGTTAACTTTGTTGTGGGTCCTCAGACCACCGGTACGAGCCTCGTCTGTCGATACACCTATACTATAATTAAATAGGTATATTGACAGTCACAGGTACGAGCCTCGTCTGTCGATACACCTATACTATAATCTAATAGGTGTATTGACAGTCACAGGTACGAGCCCCGTCTGTCGATACACCTATACTATCATCTAATAGGTGTATTGACAGTCACAGGTACGAGCCTCGTCTGTCGATACACTGACAGATGAGGCTAGTACCTGTGATCCAAAAACAAAAATGAGCAGGTAATACGACACGATGCGGTTCATGTCATTTACCTGTAATGCATTTGGAATTCATATCGCCTATGAACCGAATATGCAGTTTGATGTCATATATAGAACAATCGTTTCAAAACACAGAAATTTACCAAAGCTCAGAATGGCGGATAGTTGTCTTAAAGAATTTAAATACATTCACTTTTTTTTCTAAAGCACACTGGTAGGTTATTTTATCATTTTGTACAACATAAGGGAAAATGGATTAAAAAATTGCGGACATATTCTCATATAACAATTCGCGGAAAATGGTTTCAAAATACATTTTATCGCCATCGCATTTTCGTTATTTACTTCTTGGAATCACAGGAATTTACTTTTCCTTTCTGAATGTAATTTTATCCATTAAAATCATTTCACACATTTGCTTTGCTATTTTGTAATAATTATCAATCATATCCCTAGTGTTTTAGTTTAGTTCTACTGCTGCAAATACTTACGTATCACCGACCTGAATATTCACCACAACTGCAGAATTAATTGCTCAAACAGAAACGTAGACCTACTTTGCTACGTGGCAGCACCGTATAGACTGTGCAACTCCGTTGTCGTCAACAGTATAGTAAACAAATCGTAAATGTATTTTTATGGCAAAATGACAATGCTCCACCCTGTTCATAAAGAGGAAGTAATTGTAAACCGGTTTTGAAACTCCTAGAAGTTTTATTTCTGTTCGCAATTACTTGACAGCTCGATTACATTAACAGACCAAAGCGGAGAAGATATATTCATCTTGAATAGAAATCCGTATTCAGAACAGATAAATGACTAGTTTGTAAATCGGCGGCGAATAAAAGAAACTATATAACTGTACACGGACAAAGAAGCATCTACATATGTACTTGGCCCACATTCCCGTGTATTGGACTACACTGTAGGTTGATCGTCGGCGACCGTCCGACAGTGCACTCCTATTATACACCTGTTGTTTTTCGAAATAGCTAGTCTATTTTTGAAGTTACTGGCTAGTTTGATTTTCAAAGGGGTCTTTTTTGGGATATTTTTGTGATATGCACTGTTTCATTTAAGAAAATGTATCCTAAATCTCAAATTGAATAGGGCAGCAGACTTATACCCTTTAAGAGCCTTTGACTTGAAATGCGGAAGAGTGGAGTACAGTTAACCGTTAAAGTTTAGATATATATATTATGACGTATATAACGGTTTAATAATATCTAATATAATATATGTAAGGTATATGTCATTTTACGCTAAGTATACAATTTAGCTACATGCATTTTAGATATAGTGCATATTTTTGGTGAAGCATGCATAGTCATTGTGAACCTTTTTACAACAGTTTAGATTAAGCTATTGTTTACATTTTAGCTGTAGAATACCATTTAGTAAAGCATGCATTTTAGGTATAGTAAATATGTAGTTTAGCCATAGGACATATCTAGGTATTGGATTCATTTTAACTACAGTTAACATTAATTAATTGGGTACATGTTTGCTATAGAATACACTTGGCTATACACTGTAGAATATACGTTATCCCTATGTTGTGCCCTAATCAACTGATTTGTCTGCAAGTCGAATAGAAAACGTTGGAGGATAAAGACTAGTTTATTCAGTGAGACTAGAAATGTATGTCTGCCAGGCTGTCTTATCATAAAGACTCGTTAGAAACAACATCAAGGGGCCAGACAAAACACTTACACACAAAGATAAAAACATTAAAAAAATCTTTCAAATTAATAACTTACAAAAAGGAGTAAAAAGGTTATAGACGATTCCACTTATATCCAAATACATTCTTACTTAGCTAAGTAAAGCTAACATTGCTGTCTGAGTATGTCTCTAGTCTCGTAGTGATGCTATGTTATTCTGGTACAATAGGATGAGAGAAAACAGAAGACGATACCAGTTTTAGTGTATAACTTAACTTAAACAAAACGTGCACTAGTTTTACTCAACTACAACGTCATACGCCATTTTGGTGGCGTCGTCAGTATATGTAATTACAAACTTTAGAGGGATAACAGCAAGGCACTGTCAATATTCCATGGAAAGAGAGTAATGCCTTCTGCAACGTGTAACGGTAACTATCCCATCTGTATCCATAATAATCATTTGAATCAAGACATACATTCACTCCACACATGCCTTCCAACAACTTTGTGCTCACACTACCTTGAACACATATATTTTGTTCGTGTTTTTCTGTCTTTCCCATTTACAGTGTAACCAATATATCACAATATAGCAGCTACAATGATATGTATTGACACGTTGGTGATATATGTGAAAATCATTACACTTGTAATGCACTGATCAATTTAAGGAAAAGGTCCCGATGGCCTATATTGAGTCAGACGTGATTTCAAGTAGCATACTTGTTCGTCTCTTCATGCCCGTTAGTTGTATATCTGGTTACAGGATAGGGGACTTCAACTGTTTCCGTATCCTGATCTATATGAACGACGTCTCCATGTAATGACTCAAAGACTAAATCCACTGGTGCCTGCAGGACCAGGGTATTCATGAAAATAATTAAATCATATCGCTGGAATAGAAGTCGGTTAAAGCAATATGACAAAAAAATACCCAATTTGTGACCTTGCCCCGAAACCAGTCATAGCTCACCACCACAACAGGAGGCTTGATTTCCATCATATGATTACTTACACAAGTTTGTGCGAGTGCGTGGATAAGGTCTATTTTCAATGCCGCTCTGGTCTCCATTTGGAGAAGTCTTCTCCTTTTTCTGTATTGTGTTACTACAACCCTTCAAAACTATGACATCCTACAGTTACACTGGTTCACAGTGGTGATGCTCACATGGTTTGTCGTTATGCGACTTCCATTTTTGTACTCCTGCCAGTGCAGTATCCATCATGGTGCTTTCTCTAGGCTTATTCTTCTAGGAGACCCTGTGTGCCTTATGTCGTATCCCTTATGTTTTTAGACAATGGGCTGGTAATCCACGGAAACCAATTCTAGAGTAGCATGTCTTCAATCTTCTTGACTGGCAGGTTTCCTTAAGCACTCGACACTTTCGTTTTTTCTCATGGGTCTTGTCGTATCTCTTCCCAAAACAGTCCGTCCTATCATTGTTGTCTTCGGCTCCATATAGAAAAAGATCTGGTCGTAATTAGATTCTTATTTGCGTGTACGTGTAGCTTATATTTGCCTGGCTTTCCCTCTTTCCCAATTGAGTGTGACAGTTAAGTACCTGGTGGTATTCCATCGGTATCGACTAACAGCCTCTTTGCCTCCAGATCAGGCGTATGCCATTGTAGCATGATTTCCACATACTTGCATCCTTGATATTCTGCCAGGCCCCACTTCAGCAAATTCGTTAACGATTGCAACAGGTCGCACATGGGACTCACCAGGAAGGACATTTCGAATCGCTCCATTATCCTGAGTTCGGTCCAAGTAATTCGTTTCTCTTGAAAGTTCCATCTCGTCCAAACAAACAGATAGCTCATTTCAACGGCGTTTGCTCTTCTGGTCTCTTCCTCCTCATTTCCAACTTACTCCTGCACCATGTTTTGTCTGTTTCTCCTTTTATTTTTTCCGCTGCCTTTGCCAGGCATATAATAAAACATGTTTGGTCTCATGGATCAGCAAACAAAACATTTTGTTTTTATTTCATGTCTTTTTATATAACTGGATATGATATTGGTCAGTGAATGGCAATAAATCGTTCAGTATCAATAATATTCGTATTAATCTAGGTATGACCTGAAACCTGTGAAGATTTCAATATCTCAAGGAATGGGTTGAGGCGGGGGAAACATGTAGCAGCACCGGGCAAAACTCATTGTTGATAAAAACGTCCGCAGCAAATAATCCTGACACATTCATCTCTTTCTCTATAAATTAAAACAAGGATGAGAATCAAGATAAAGAGGTATAGATGCATGGTGATCAATGACGAAAGCCCGATAAATGGAGGAAGAAAAGATAATGCGCATTAATAGGAACCCACCAAATAGTTTTGCTACTGGTACCACGACTATTTATGTGATTCCAGAACAAGAAGAATGTTGAGGACCAGCTAATGAAAAAGCTGAAGTGTTTAGAGAAGACAGGCCTACCAGGGAAGTACAATTGATGGGTTCTGAATGATGCTCCATATCTTTTCTCATTAAACGGTGCTGTTAAGAAAAATAAAAAATAATTAAAACAAGAGGCCCATGGGCCTTAACGGTCACCTGAGTCCTACAGTATTTATTTTTGTTGTTGAAATATGTACCAATTTGAGTAAAAAATAGTTAAGTATAATGTTAACTTAACTTTGTCAGGACCATGAGCTGATCATTCCTAGACCGATTTTAAGTGAGATCGGCCTATTAGAACTTGTTTTTAAGTTTGAAATAG